TTAAGAATATATAAACAAGGGTTGAACCATAGACAAACTAACAAAAGCTTTTGTTAGTTTGTCTATGGGTTGAACTTAACTCAGAATCACCGACTCCCTGCTCAATTATAAAGCTAGTCACTCGTATAGTACAGGTACAATAAAATTATTAAAAAATCTGATAAGAAAAATATAGACACATTCTATTACTTAACAATAAATTTAATAAGTACTTATATCAATTACAGCGTGCAATTTCTTTTCCCTCGTAGAACACATTCTGCTTAGAAGGCTATTAAATTACGAAGCAGGTAGGTAACTTAGTTTTTTATTCTTCTTTACGTCCTACAGTTTCCTTCGGTTAGCTGGTGTTTTTTTTTTGTTCATTTGGGGATTAAATGCATGATGCAATCTAATAAGATTCTTGCATCGAATCCCGTCATCTGTAATGAAACGAATTGTTACCACTGCAGCCAATTATTTTTCAATGCCGTTGTTACAGATGAGTTAGGAAAAAAAATAATAACAATTATTACCGGGTTCAAACCGAACACAAGCGGAATAATGAAAGTAAATTATTATTGCTCGAAGAAATACTGTATCTTATGTCTTGTATCAAAGGATAAACTAAATTTGTCATGTTACAGTGATCAAACAGCAAAGTTTTGCGTGAATGATACAGCAAAATGAATTGATTTTACTATATTTTTTATGATCATGTACTTCTTTCCTTACTTTTATATTTAATCAAATTTATGTTATGAAATATTTTCCGTCATTTTAATCAAAGTACTAATTTTAGTTACAAGACCGGAAAGTAGTATCTATGGTAGTATTCTAGTTCCAAAGTTAGAGCAAGCCAGTTAGAACAAGCCGTCTGTTTCTCAATTCCTTAACTCTCCCCTTTTTCGAGGAGTGTTTTGTGTTTTCGCTTTTGCTTCCTCTGGAGCAAGTACTTCGTGGAGTAGTCGGAGGTATCTCCGTACTTGTACTACCAGGTCACGTAGACGAAATGGTTTCTTTTGTCGCTTTTTGGGTCTAGTGTATTTCAGAAAAATATTTTAACTTCTATAGGGTGGTTCAAAATAGTGTGAGTGGATCGGGATGATTTTTTTTTAGTGGAACACCCTGTATATTATTGCATTTTTGGCTTCCTTTATTTGGCATTTTTGGATTAAATATATTTTGATAGTCTCAGAGATATTAATAAATAAATAGAAATATATTTTTCAGCCTTTCTTAAAAAAGTTTATTAAAAATACAAGAACTGTCCTAAAATCAAAACTATAATAGTTTAGATGGTCTGGTACTTACTTTGCTATAAATATGGTAATCCTAAATGATACAGGATGATACGCCAAAATTATACGCCAAACTTTCTAAAATATAAAATAATTATTTTTCGTTTTTTTTAATGCAATACCCTGTATATTATTTTCTCAATAGATGGAGAATTATAAAATGAACATTTTTTGTATTTAGAGTATTTAAAAGTGTTTAACGGTTTTGCAGATATTTGCAGTTTTTTGTATATCATATGGCATTTTCCATAGTAAATTTCTATGAAAGCCACCCATCAATAATTTTTCTTTCGTATTTTACAGTTGAGAGAGCCATATTATGAAATAATACTGCGCGTGTATCTGCGAAACCATTAAAAATTTTGAAATACTTTAAATACAAAAATGACCATGTTTTAATTCTCCATCTAATAAAAAAATAATATACAAGGTATTCTATGTAAAAAAAACAAAGAAGAATTATTTTATATTTTAGAAAGTTTGGCGTAGAATTTTGAACACCCTGTATGATTAAGATATTTATAGCATAGTAAGTATAGATCATCTAAAGTAAATATCTAATATAGTCTTGATTTCAGGACAGTTCTTGTATTTATAATAATTTTTTAAAGACGGTTGAAAAATATATATTTTTTATTTATTTATTAATATCTATCTTTGAGACTATAAAAATATATTTACTCATATCTTAGGATTATGTAAAGTGATCTGAAAGGAAGCCCAAAATGCAACAGGCGGTGTTCCATTTAACAAATATCGTCCCGATCCACTCACTATTTTGAGCTACCCTATAGAAGTTAAAATGTTTTCCTGAAATACATCGTCTTACATACTTTAGGTTTGGTTTGCATAACATTTCCAAGTTTTTTATTCTAAGATGTAAAAGATTCTAAAAAGATATTCTTTGCTACAGATGCGCGACGCACTATTGCGGGACCATGTATAGATAGATTTTTAGCTATCAATATGTTTTTAATAGCCTGCCATACACCGAAATATCTGACCTGTGGACCCGGCCTTTGGATGATGTCTTTCCGTTTGTGGGCCAGACCAAGTCTTTGGCGGACTTGGCCTGTGAGATTAGATTTGTCTAAAACGCTTGTAACTAACGCTTGACTTGTAATGCTCACTCTTTTTAAGTGGCAGTTTTATTCCGATAAAAAATTATTTATATTAAAACCACAAATTACCTATAACAGATGCGAAAGAAAGCGACTGCATCGGAAACCGCTCGGCAAACCCCACACGCCTATTGAGTGGTGTAAATACACCAGTTGTTTAGTCCGGAAACCTATGCTGTGTCGTATTCGCTTGCTGGAATGACATAGTGCGTGGTTATATGTTTCTTTTTAAAAATGGGTGTAGGATTTTTGTTGAACTTTTGAACTGTTATTTCTAAGTTTTGGTAACTTGTATATCTTATTTAAAATGGGATACAAATGTGTTTATTTGTAAGGAAAAAAAAAGATATTTATAGTATAAAAAATTAATTTATTTAACAAAATTTAATTAAAAATGTGACAAAATAGTTCTATTGGTTCTATCGGACTTTTTTCGACTATATAAATCTTTATTTGTAAACTTTAATACATCAAATATTTTCAATCTAATAAATCATTTAATGATCAATTCTATAGTTTTCATTATATCAAACAGCCTCTGAGAAATGTTTTCAACTCAAAATGCCTTTAATTATGTTTGACTACATCAATTTAAAGGGTCTTCAAATACATCAATGTAATATTTGTCTAAAATTTGCAAAAGAATATCTGGATTACTCGAAATTATTTACCCATTTAAAAGCCTTTGATCATGAAAGTGGAAAAATTTGTTCATTTTATTTACTGGAAATGGAAAAATTATTTATATTAAAATTTGATGAGTTTTGCACTGAAGAAAACATTCAAAGGCTGTTTGATATATTGAAAACTATAGAATTTGACCACCCATGTGAGAAATTTCCTCTTATTTACATCATTAAATTATTTATTAGATTGAAAATTTCACACCTCTACTTTTCAACCAATAACATGCTTTAATGTTGACTAGTTACCATGGCAACTGAAAAAATTTCCGGAAATTTTTTCGAGGCGCCACGAAACTTTAGTGGAAATTTTTTGACAGTTGAAAAGGTAAACATAAGATCTACAATCATAATGTGAATGAACTACAATGTCTATATATTGAAATATTACCCATTTGAGTTTTAGCATTTGAGTGTAATACATTAAAAATATAATAATATTGGTTATATTATTAACAAATTGAAATTATTTTAAAAATGTCATGTTGGATTAATATTTTTTTTCAAATTTAGGTGTGAAATTTTCTTACCGAATACCACGCAAGCTTAAATTATTCCTGGAAATTTTCTTTCGGGCACGAATATTTTAGGAAAATTATCCCTCGTCTTCGACTCGGGATAATTTTCAAAATATTCGTGCCCTCAAAAAAATTTCCGAAAATAATTTAAGCTCTTGTGATATTATAAGTGAAAATATTTTATGCATTAAAGTTTACAAAAAATAAAGATTTATATAGTCGAAAAAAGTCCGATAGAACCAATAGAAAAGTAACTATTTTGTCACTTTTTTTGTCATCAATAAAAATCTTTAATTAAATTTTGTTAAATAAATTAATTTTTTATACTATAAATATCTTTTTTTTCCTAATCTCCTACGAACTGATATAATATGACAAGCAATCTATTAAATTACTGTGAGATTATATGCCTCGATAACATATTGGTGCAGATTATTCCAAACCAAACAAATAATAACCCAAACTATACATTTTGTCAAAAACTCTAACGTGATTGGTCGGGCTTAACAGTTGCCTGCTAGGGCTAGACACAAGTCATCTGTTATAGGTAATTTGTGTTAAAACTGCAATAAAAGGTCGAATTTTGTCCCAAACGAGAATATTTAATCGGGCAAAAATCTAATCGGTAAGCCAAGTCCGCAGGCTAAGCCCGCCGACCAAAATACGACAGTTTTGGTACGTGAAAGGGCAAGTCTGCAGATTGCGTCGGGTTCGCAGGCCGGGTCTTCTGTATGAGGGACTATTGAATGTATATAATATGATGGGCCGTTCTTTCTGAAAAAAAATGAGTCAATGCAATGGTGCGTATTGCATTGTAGTCATAAAACATTGAAAAATGAATTCAAAAAACTATTAAATAAACCGTCTCTTTTCAATCAAGATCTCTATTTTTGTTATAATATTTCTTTCGCCATAATAACAAAAGACTTTAATCAGCAATCAATATTTCTTTCAATATTTTCCTCGTTTATATTAAATGTAATGTAATTTTTATTGTTAATCTAAGAATGTAATGCATTGATTTTATTCAGTTTTGCAAAGGGTTTTGCGTTTATGAGTATGAAAATTGTACAAATTTTTAAATTTGGATCTTTTTTAACCACTCTGTATATTCTTTTAAATTGGTTATTTGCAACACTGTTTAAATGTTCTAGCAGGTAGTTAAACATTAAAGGGCAATATATTAGAATTTTTATATTTAACATATTTTTAATTTACATATTTTCTGTTATACCTATGTACAATAACCAATATTGTAATTTAGATTTTTTAATTAAGAAAATGGAGAATTACAAAACGTATTTGAGAATATCCAAAAGAATATCAATATTTCTATTTTTGCTGTTGGTGACACTGATGGACCAGTTTTTAGACAATAAACAGCTGATTTTTCTAGTCTTTGTCAAATAAAGGACCACACTTTTTAAAGTACCTGAATTATTAAAAATGAACTGAAAAATCAAAGAAAGACCAAACGAATTTTAATTTTTAAGTCTGTAGCGATCTCATGAAAGTAATTTATTCCATTACTCGATATAAATATGGATTGCAATAAGCACAAGAAAGGAAAAGGTAAATAACATTAGTTTGAATAGCTTGTGGTTTATAGTTTCAAATATAAATAAAACAAACATGTATTCAAACATTTCTGTTATGTAAATCGGTCGATAAATGTTAAGAAATATATATTTTTGCTATGAATTATATGATATTCGGTTTATTTTAATAATTATAGATATTTAGATAAAGTGGGTACAAGGTTAATATTGTTATTTACTTTTGTACGAATTTTTAGATATGGGTCGTGCTAGGTCATCACTTAGTGTTTCTGGTGTTGATTACTATCTCAATCTGCCAGTGAGTTGTCCAGCATCTCCTGCCGTCTCAACTTTAACTCTGACACCAGGCAGGATACGAAACATAGATCAGGATATGGAAAATTTGAGGGCGTCAAGACAAGATAATCCTTTTATACAGGTAATTTGATTTTTATTATAGTTTTTTTTACTTTTGTTTTAATTTTAGCGAGTCATAGCAAGTAGAGAAAGCCTTTTGGATTCCAGTTTAGATGAAGAATCTGATAATGTTACTTTAATGTCTAAGGTATGTTAAAACATACACTACCTATACTTTTGAATAAGATAATTTTTAAGAATATTAGTTTTGTATATACACAGAAAAACTAGAATCGAAATTTTTTTGTTTATTGATTTAAGGTAGGTTTTTTATTAAAATTTTTAGTTGCAAGGAAATGGTATTTTTTGCAAACTATCTGTTATATTTTGTTATGATGTTTAATATATTTTATAACTTCTAAAATTAAGCAATATTTATTAAATGCTCCAATCAGATCAATCTAAATACAATCAGATATACTTAGTATGTTCCTGAAAATGATTGATTTCAGATTTATCTAGAATTATATTATTCACTGATTATAAGTATGAAGAAATAATGTGGTGTGTAGCGTAATTTTTTTGTATAACAATTTATTAATATTCAATCAAAACATCGAACATCTAATCATGTTTATAGTCATAAATATGTATATAGATATTTCATACAATAAAAAAAAATTGACATTCTAGGTGGCAATCAATCAAAATTAGGTATATTTATTTTTCAAATGACTTCTACCAAAACTATTTTTAGGGGAAATATGAATTATTTTACAACCATATACTTATTTCATTTTTTTTCCATTACTATATGTAGGTCAGAAATATTACTTAGAGAGAACATGCGACAGTGACAATTGTTGTCTGTCATTTTAAGTCAAAAGTAGATTATATTTTCTTTTTAGATAATCATTTATATGTACTAAGATATATTTTTTACTTTGCTTAGGAGCTGTCATTAGACCTGGACATAGACCCTATGTCACTGCCAGAAACTCATGAGCACATGATTCGGAGTCCGCCTCCTACAAATTGGCCAACATCACCGAATTTTAGGACTTTTCAATTTCCCAGTGGTAGTTCTGATGCCCTGCAACTTGAAGTAAATGTAAGTAAACAAGTTATTTTAATCTCCATATTTTTAAAGGCATACTAAAAATATTCATAGAATGAAATGACAGTTAATAACAAAAATTTTAGTATCATTAGAGGCTGCTTTCATATCATTTTCCATATCAGTATTCTCTATTTCAACATAATTTTAAATTTTCAATTCTTTAGTTCGGTAAATGGTTACAATTTCTATTAGTTAGGTATGCGTATAATAATTTTGATAAAGATCTGAGAAATTTATGGACAAAAATATTTTATTATTATGGTTTAATTTGACTTGTTGAACAGTTAAAAATTACGTAGGTGGCGCCCTCTACAAGTAGGAGTATTGACATCGAAATCAAATATATTATGTCAAAAAAACACCCAAATACCAATTTTTATCTAAGTATTGACTATAGTGCGGAAACATGATACAAAGAAACCAAGGTATGATCGATACCGGCTCCAATTTCGTTCAGTTTGCGCATATCACTTGTGACGACACTACGCCATACAAAAAATCCATATTGTTCAATTGCCACTAATAAAAAAGAATAGAACCTAGAATAGGGAGGAATTGAATCTCAAAAGTTATGTCAAATTATCGAGCTTGACATTTGAAAAGTCATTTTCACATTTATTATGTGCCATCAGTTTGAAATTGGCGCGCGGAGCGTGCCGGCCAATGATGGTGCCGATATCACCTGTGACGTAGTGACCAACCTGCGCAATATCATGCGTTGTTTTCTTTGTATCATGGTTCTGAAATTATTTGGAAAAACCTGAAATAAAAATGAAACTTTTACACCCTGTACTTTTTAACATATTATTACTTTTTTACTTATTTTTTATCTGCAGTATATGCTGCTAAAGTTTCCCGAATACAAATCGGACCACCCTACATAGATTTAGCTAGTTTTTGTCGTTTTAATTTGCAGCATTTAAGGATGATTCACGCTATACCGTGACGGGTCCGAGCCGTGCGTCGGTGAAGACACGGCCAAACATTGTCAAGTGTTATTTACACATATACATTCATGCCAGGCCGAGCACGATCCGAGCTTCGTCGGAACCCGTCCGTGCCCCGTCACAGAAATGTCGCTGTACATTTTTTTTTCGGATCCGCTTCGTTCCCGCCACGTTGCGGAAAGCATGTATGTACTTTTCTTGGTGCCCCGACTGCAATCTGCAGTCATGATATAAACAAAGTACACTTTTTATCATGTCTGTAGTAGGTAGTGAATCTTACAGTAGTATTTGATGACAGGGAATGCATAAAACTGGACAATGGAAGGATGTAATGAAGAAGAGAGGTCCTTCATCTTCCTCTTTGAACAGGTGTTGTTCTTTCTTATCGATACTTATTGGGACTAAACAGTAGAACTCACTGCCAGAATTTCTTTAAAAATTTCAAAATACTGACTCTTCCTTCCTTATTCATTTTTGAATCCGTTTGCTTAATCCGCAAGCACATATTCTCTATTCCGGAAAGGCCTTCTCACAACTATCCACTTAGGAATGCGGAACACGATATTTATCTGCCAACCCCGAGCTCAGAACTAGTTAAGGGCTCAATACTGTACAATGCCAAGAAAATGTACAATCATTTGCCTTCGAATATCAAGTCACTTTCATTCTTTCCCGCATTTCGCAAAGCTCTGAAATCATACTTACTGGAGAGAACCCTATATGCGGGGTAAACGACTTTTTTGTTGATGTTTAATCATGAACAATTTAGAATTTTAATTTTAATATTTTGATCATCTCACACACCGGTTAAAGGTCTAGTATATAATATTTTATAACTCTTGATTTTATGTTATTATAACATGATTTTATCCATTTACAGTTTTCCTTTTGTAAAATTTTCTAGATACGCCTGTGTTCTGCAATATCAATATATGTTTTATTTGTAATTTTATGACGTAAATTTTTTTTGAATTGATTTGTATTGTAAGACATTTTTTTTATTATTTGTATATTTGTTTTTGTGCTTTTTTTGTTTTGCTTTGTCGATGAAGCTGTTTGGCTTTTTGTACAATAAAGCGTTGTTTTCTTTTTTTCATCAACTGTAATTGGTACCAATTCCACTTGCGAGAATTTTGGCGTTGTTCGTATTAAATCTTCGTGTGTCTATGGAGCTGTTTTTTTGTAATATGCTCAGAACTAATACGAGCCCCGTTATCAACTCGGTGTTGCATAAACAGAAGGCTCGGACGTGGCTCGGTGTCTACTCCACAGAACGTGCCCGGCTCAGACATGGTCCGGTGTACTGTGAATCATCCTACTGTTATTACTTACTCTGCAATATAAATATATCTAGAGAGAAGGGTAATGTGTTCTGAATACCTGTTTATTAATTTTTTTTTGTTCTAAATGTTCTGCAAATTATAATTTTTCTCTACAGTATGTCTCCAGATTGTCTTTACAAGAGGAAAAACTTTTTTATTATTGACATTTTACAAAAATACAGTCTTCATAAAAATGTTTGCTTGTTCTAAAATGGTTGATTCTGTTTATACTTTTCCAAATTTTTATACCGTTTTATAGAAAATTACAGAAAACATGAAAATGTGTCTTAATTTTTTCTAAAGCTTCATTCAGAACCTCGCAATTGGTCGAATAAATTAGTGGTTTCAATTACACTTTATACTCTTTAGTTTACGATCATTCACAATGTTTAAAAAACAATTAAAATTAACAGTATAGCTTGGGTTAGTCAGTTGTATCCATAGAGAATACCTAATATTTAGCTTATAAAACAATCGACTTTTGATTTCTAACCACAATTGCTCTTGACGGAAGATAATCAAAGGCCAAAATGACATTTCTCGCAAATTTTGAAGTATAATTAGCGGAAAAGTTATAAGTTTGTTAACTTTCTACTACTTGAAAATGACTATCACTAAAATTCTGACTATCAACTATCACTTAGCTCTACTAGCTCCAACTACCAATTATTCCAATAATTGCGAGGTTCTGACTAAAGCTTCATTCAGAACCTTGCAATTAGTGGAATAAATTTGTGGTTTAAATAATTATCGTAGAAGTTTGTTCCTTTAATTTTAATGTAATCATTCAGAACGTCTAAATTAGTGGTAGACATTTTCAATTAGTAGAAAAGGTTAGCAAACTTGTGACTTTTCCACTAATTATACTTCAAAATTTGCGGAGAGAATGTCATTTTGATCTTTGATTATCATTCATCAAGAGAAATTGTGGTTAGAAATCAAAAGTTTATTGTTTTATAAGCTAAATATTTGGCTTTCTCTATGGATACAACTGACTACCGCAAGATGTTGCTAGGATATTCTATTAATTTTAGACATTGTGAATGATCGTAAACTAAAAAGTATGAAGTGTAATTGACACGACTAATTTATTCCACTAATTGCGAGGTTCTTAATTAAGCTTAAAGCTTGAATTTTATGCATCCGTTGTCCGACGATACGATGATGCGATATTAATTTTTTTGGCCGAATTTAAAGGCTTCAATTGGTTAACCGTTTCTAACCAATCGAAGATTTCAAATTCTACCAATAAAATTAATATCGTATCATCGTATCGTCGGATAACGGATGTATGAAAATCAAGCTTAAGTCCTAAAAATTAAAGGGCGCTTCTATGGTGATATAATTTCGATTTCATTCTTTATGGTTATTATTAATTTTGATTAACGTCATATTTTTGAAGTGAAACTTCTTTACGGGCGATGGAAGTAAAAATTGAAGCTTGGAGCGTCGTAACTCGGGTCCTATATGAGCTTGGGTGCTGAAACCCGGAATGTAGATGGGGCTTCGATTTTCAAATTCAAATTTCTTTATTAGACCCCAATAAGTTTTACAGATTAATAATATAATTACACCGCTATTAAAAAACCGATACAAAGGCACAAAGGGCCAGAGTGGTGCGATCGCACCACTTATTTTGACGACGTTTCGTGCACTATGAAATCCCATCATCAATGGCGAAAAAATCGTCCGAGTTAAATGAAATTTGGTATGTCGATAGGTTGATTAGGTTATGTCGACATAATGGATGTGGGTCGATTTCGGCATAATTGCGGACGGGCAACAGGATGACGCCCTCGACATTTCGAACCGATGATGCCTCTAAATGGACTAAATCCTCAGGATTGTTTTCTTAATTATGGGTCGATTGGAACCAAACTCGGCACGTGGATGGAAGTATCACATTTTCTTAGAACTATTAATCACCCTCTCAGTAGAATTAAACCAAATAAATGTTATGCTTCTCTAACATCAAAATTCTATCAATAACAATCTATCAAAAAATGAAAACGAAATTATATTACCGTAGAAACGCGTTTTGATTTTTAGGACTTTTATTTTATTAATTTATTAAAAGTATAAACGGGATTAACCATTTTAGAACAAGCAAACATTTTTTATGAAAAATGTCAATAATAAAAAAGTTTTTCCTCTTGTGAAGACAATTCGGGGATATACTGTAGAATAATAAGGAAAAACGAGAAAATTTAGGATAAAATTTAAAAATGTAAAAGACTTAGGTACTATGTATCTGTTCTTTGCATTAATTATAAATTTTCGACATTTGCTTATTTCTCCTCGTTCGTTCTCGGAAAACATTTCCCGACATAAAAATACCCCCCAACATAAATTCCCGAACATTTTGAATTGCATATCGTCAGTGAAATGTGATAAACTGCTAACTCTCCATTATTTCTAATTTTACAGGAGAGCAAAAAAACGGTACAAAAAATATGTACACATGTAGGAACTATTTTCATGCGTTAATTGCTGTCCTCCATTCGCGAACTTCGAGTTCTGGGCTTTACGCCCTGGGGCTACTCGAAGGGATCAGGGCTTGAAAAACAGTGCGTAATTTTATTAAATTTTTATTACTTTTCTCTTTATTTTTTTTTTAATTTTTAAAAAAATTGTGTATCATTTACGTGGAAAAACGTTGAAAAAAGAAACTGATTAGGTATTATGGAAATTCTTGTACAACTAAGTAATTTTATTTGAACTATTTATAGCACGCCGATGAATTGCTCGTATATAGAGAATTTTGTTGAATGAAACAAAGAAATAAAAATCCGTGTGTTTAGCGTGATCGTAACGGAAATTACGGAGATAGCAGCATTTCGGTGGCTATTTCAGATCATTGGGAGTTGGCAGATATTATTGAGTTAAAATAGCAAATTTTATTTAATGGGGAAAAATGTATTTGCTTTCCTTACTTATAGAGTATTTTTTTCTCTTTCTAATGGTATAAAAAAACTTATTAACGTAAAAAATGGAGTTAGCATCACGTTTTACTGACAATATGAGGCAGACATCTGTGGCACTGCAAATTGATTATTGAATAATATTGCTTGTAGAATACCAAAGAAAAATCGAAATCAGCCGAACTGAAGCCAAAACATTCTAGTTGGGACGGCCAAGATACGTCACCACTAAAATCCTTCAAAGCGCTATACTACCACGACAAATTTTCGCTGTTAACTAGTAATTCCCTGAGGACTTCGGCCGAAGACCACCTACGTCTGATGAGCGAAGATTGAATCAAGAAATTCAATTGCTTAATTTTAACATTCCGAAATGTATAGTGATATAACGCAAATGTTTTCTAGTCATACTGTTAAGAGTTGTGAGTAATTTACCCAGTAATCATAAGGAAACGACATCACAACGAGTCTTCTGTTTGAGATAGGTTATAATATTGGCAGGCTAAATAATATTGGAAACTCAAGGATACTATACAGGGTTTTATTTAAATAAGTCGAAACATTTTTTAATCGCTCAATTCCATGGCAGCTACGCCCAATATTATATGACATTCGAACAATTTAATCTTTGAAATAGATAGCCACATGTCTTTTCGTTATGTCACAGTAGCTGTGGAAATCACTAAATTTGACGTTTAGGCTATACAATTTTTTTTGACAGACAGTTTTTTCCTCCAAAAATGTCTTTCTCAACAAAAGGTTAATGTTGCGGTATAGTGTTTGATATCAAAATTCATAAAATTTTGCAAAGACTTTAAATATATGTAATAAAACATGGGGGTACCCATTTAAAATAAGAAAGTTGCTATCAACTTCCGGTATTTCCGGAAGTGCCGCCATATTGAAAGTATTTTTAAACGATAGATCTCCTTGTGAAACAGGGATGTCTAAAAAATCTCCATTCTAGATATTCTAGTTTTCTAGAAACTTCTAATGCACGCGCAGCTTGGGACACCCTGTATACTGCCGTTAAAATCTTGCACTGATTTAAGAGAAACCCTGTATAAACATCCAGCTTATGCAATTTTGGAGGTTTTATTGTATGTTGTTATTGGAGAATTTAGTATATTCAAAAAGTTCTAAAATTTTGGCAATGTTATAAAAAGAAGAATTTTCATAAATCTCTATATTTGTTATAACTTATATTTTGTGTAAGCTTGTATAATGATATCAAATTCTGTACTTTTTTCTTACATATATCGAATATATTGGACTATAATACTAAGGGCCGGCAAAGGTTAGTTTTGGGTCGGGACTTCCATATGTAAGAAGAGTATAATGCGTTTATAATGTACTGAACAAAGAGAGAACAGTAAACGCGTTGTCAAACTTATGAAATAAACCGAGAAAGTGCAAGTTAAAAAAACTTGCATGTTTGGTAAAAACAAGTGGAATTGAGTTGGTGTTCGACAGTGGTCGCGCTATTAGAACTCTGAATTCAAAAATCGATATCTCAAAATCCATTAGAAATAATTGATTGTAGTTTTTTCAAAAACTTTCTTAATATTTCTGCTATATTTTCTTCGCAGAAAGTATGTAAAAATCTTTATAAATAAAGAAGTTACATGATTGCTGAAAATTGTTATGCACTAAAAGTAAATGGATGGTTTTTTTTTAATTTTTGAAAAAAAACGAGCCTAGAGGATTTTTTTTATTTAAACATCTTGTAAAAGGTCCGAATTTCAAAAGAAAAAAAAGTTCAATATTTAAAGTGGTTCTTGAGTTATCAGCACGCGTTATGTGTTAAAAAGTTGAGTTTTTAAATTATCGCCATTACTGACGTTTTATCGTTATAAAAAAAAACGGTATCCTTACAATTCCATTTTAGATGCTCAGAAACAAATCTGATGATTTTATCTAGTTAAAAAAGTCTAGTCGAAAAAAAGTCTTTTAAAAATAAGCGGTTTGCGATCGTGATTTTACTTTACTTGATAGGGAAAGGCGTACCGGAGAAATGTGGCAACGCCGCAACAGCACACCGTCGCATTTCTCTCACTTCGACTTAATAAGTTCCCTACGCGATTTACTTCCACACATGTATATACCGACCCAAAAGTGAGAGTTGCCAGTACGGTATACATGCGTTTCCACGACTCGTTATGGTTTCGTTATTGTAGTTAAACAATTATTTTTAAATATGGTACAATATTATTTATTGACGATATATAGCTTTACTGATATTTTATCTATTCTTAACTTTATACTATATTTAATTTTGTTATTAAAGTAAGATTTTGGCTTTAGGTCTTACTTTGGTGCTTTATTTACTTAAAAATATTTATTAGGGAAAAATAGCAGAGGTTACTAGACCTTTCTTATGTAACTACACTCAGGTGCAAAAAAAACGCGACGGAAACTTTTTTGGTCAAATTTAAAGCATTATATTTTTGTTATTCTTAGCCCTATTTTCATGATTTTTTTAGCAAACTGTATATAATTATGTCAATTTTAATTCGTAAACTAAGTTTTTTATAAACTTTAGTATTTGGCATATTATACAGGGTTAATCGAGGGGTTGTTTTTTTACTCTAACTTTAAATCACCCTGTGCAATCATTTCGTGTGTAAATTTTCCTAAAATATAATTTTACAGCCACAACCATGTCTCCTGAGCATTTTGTTTTTTGGATCATGTCAATACATGCCTTGGTTAATTTTTAAGAGCGAAATGAACTTGCCACCAAGAATTTGCAATTTTTTCAATGATCATTTCTTTTTAAAGTAAATTTTCAATATGACAAGGTCGCTTTGGTGATTATTGTGAACTAAATACTACTATAAACTGACCATCATGTTCGACGTTTGTGAAATGCTTGGCAGGAGGATTAGACGTTGCGAAGCGGTACCATTAAATGAACTTCGCTAGGTTCTTAAAGAAGAGTGAGAAAGCATAACGCAATATGGTATATGCAGCCTCAATGACAGTATGATCGGACGTATACAGGCAATTATATCAGCCAAGGGATGCAATACAAAGTATTAGGATATTTTTACAATTTTTTTTTTCTGTTTATATACTTCAGTATTACAGATGCTTTCTTTAATACCGTTAGTTTTGTTATCGTTATTAATGTTTATTAAAACCAGGACATTTTTTTTAAAATTTAGTATAGAGTATCCATTGCAGCGTAATACGACGTTACGACAATAGTGACCAAAACCATCTCGTCATATTAAAAAAATACGTCAAAAATCATGATAATTGAAAAATTGCAAATTGATCAGTTCATTTCGCTCTTAAAAATTAACCAAAGCATGTATTGACATGATCCAAAAAACAAAATGCTCAGGAGGCATGGTTTTGACCGTAAAATTATATTTTAGGAAAATTTACACACGAAATTATTGCACAGGGTGTTTTAAAGTTAAGGTAAAAAAACAATCTCCCGATTAACCCTGTATAATATGCCAAATACTAAAGTTTATAAAAAAAACTTAGTTTACGAATTAAAGTTGATATATAGTCTATAAAATGAATAACTTTGAATTTTGACCGTTATTTTTTACCAACATGGCAAATATAAAATCCCTCTGTCAAAAAAGTTACTGATATTCTTTAAATTGAGTGCCTGAACGAATCAGATAACTCTTTTTACTTTCGTGAAATAGAAAAGGAAAATAATAAAACAAGTGACAGTTCTTCCTCTTCTTGCAAAAATCAGCACGAAATGTCATAATTGACAAAAGTAAAATGTCATCAGCTTTTGACATTTCTAAATGTTAGACCAATGCCGTCTCTAATAGAACAGCCACGGAGCGAGATTTATGACGTCACGCTAGTTAGATACTACGGATTAATAAATATGTTGTAGAATACATGGAAAACATAATTATTTCTCGTATTTTTGGTTTGTATTTTAAAAATGATATAGTTTACATGAAGTATACATAATATACAGTTAATAAATACAATATAATATATACCTATTTATAGTAATAAATACTTTGGCAAATAAACTATGAACCATACAAATGCAGCAAATGTTTTACAATATACAAATAATGAATAGGTGGTACATAAGATAATGGGTAAAATGTAAAATATATTTTAAATTTTGGGGTTTGAAAATCGATCTAATTTAACAAAAAACATTGAATATCGATAGTGATGTATTATTATTTGCAATCACAAAATTTATTTATATATTATAATGTTTACTGCAATTAATAAACTAATATAAACTTGTCAAAAGATGACCACATATTTTTTTACATTATTATTCTTAACAAAAAACTATCTATATTGACTATGGAGTACGATTTCAGCCATATTGTAAAACATTTGCTGCATTTGTATGGTTTATAGTTTATCTGACAAAGTATTTATTACTATAAATAGGTATATATATTGTATTTATTAACTGTATATTATGTATATTTCATGTAAACTATATCATTTTTAAAATACAAACCAAAAATACGAGGAATAATTATGTTTTCCATGTATTCTACAACATATTAATCCGTAGTATCTAACTAGCGTGACGTCATAAATCTCGCTCTGAGGCTGCTCTATTAGAGACGGCATTGCGTCAGCACGGCCGCAAGTTGATAACCTATTAAAATTAACACTAGAAAAGCCCGCGGGAACTGTCAAATTCAAAGTTATTCGTTTTACAGACTATAATAATATACAGTTTGCTAAAAAATTCATGAAAATAGGACTAAAAATAACAAAAATATAACAGTTTAAATTTGACCAAAAATTTCTCCGTTGCGTTTTTTTGCATCTGAGTCTATATTGAATAACTTTAAGGTCACACCCAAAAAGCTAAAATCTTACTATTAATCTATAAATGGTTACCTATATTACATATGCCTCGATGTTATTTACTCAAAAAATTCTATGTCACATCTATGTTTCACAAAAGTGACTTAAAAAAAAAGAATTGATATATTTTCCAGGAATTATTTACCAAAGTTTGAATGTTGCAACCAAAGTTTAACGTTTCGACTAAGTAGTTTATAAGTGTAGGAATTGATTTTAGATATTTTAGGTAAAAACAGAATTATACAAGTATAGTAGACAATGTAATTGAATGGTTTATATTGTTATAACTTTATGTAATCCTTTGTATACTATATCCATTTTAAATGTCGTTATATGTATTTATTTTAGAGCAAAAAATAGTCTTAAAAGAAAGGTGTAAGGTAAGTCGTCAGTATAAATTTTCTTTAAATTCGTGTAATTTTTTTAAAAACTCTATGCTCAGTGTTTTAAATTACGCTTTTTGTGCGGTTTAAAAAATTTATACCACGTGTCTCAAATTTGAAGTATGACATCTTCTATTTTTTTGGTAACCCTAATTTTTTATTATTCCAAAAGGGTACCTATATCGAACGTGGACTTGTAATAAGCTATATCTTAGAATTACTTTTACCTAACGCTTACCTTTTGCCACCTATATTATATATCGATTTGGTCATTGAAACTGCGTGGTCTGGATTTTAATGTGTAAGATAGTGAGGTAGATAGCTTAATGTAAAATCAAATGTATTAAAAAGAGATAAAAGTTGGGTCAAAATTTCAAACCAGACAAGTAGGCGTTTACGAAAAATGTTGCATCTAGAGTTAGAACTTTATTTTTCACAGTTAGTTTCTCATTTTACTACAGATCTGTAATAGATTATATTTAGCTTAGATATATTATTTTTATTTAGTTCAGTAGTATACATGAAAGTTTTTAAAATAGTTTATTTTATTCTACATACATTCTCCTACACAGGTAAAAACCGGCAACACTGTATGCGCTTTTTATTTTATCTCTCCCTCTCTCTGTCAACCGGTCATTTATATTTATCTCTGTCGCATGCACTAAATACAGACCACGCAGTTTCGATGACAAGATCGGTATAATACATTGTATGTATATTAGTATTTTTTTGTTTGCTTTTTTGCTACCGTATTCTAAAGACCTATTATCTTAATATATAACTACTTACTTCTAGATTAATAAGAAAACATGTTAGTTAATACTGGAATTGCTTTTGCACTAGCCAAACAGTTTATTAGGTTAAGTTTTTGCCCTTGAGTTCCTATTTTGTACAAATTGTCTCTATTGTGCGGTTACAAAAAAACAAACACTCAGTATACAGGGTGCTTATTTGAATTTTTGTGGCATAAGAAAAATACGTATTAAATTAATTCTAGTATATTATACATTTAGTCAAATTTAGAATAATATTGGTTTGTAGAAAATTTAATTTATCCATTTTTCTATTGCTTCCCAATTAACCTTGGTTATACTAAGGGCTGGCAAAGGTTAGTTTTGGGTCGAGATTTCCGTATGTAAGAAGAATACAATGCTTTTATAATGTACTGAAAAAAGAGAGAACAGTAAAAACGTTGCCAAACGTATGAAATAAACCGAGAAACTGCACATTGCTAAGAGACGTGGAAGGTGATATAGCAGATTCTTCGCGATCGACCGGTCATCCCAATCACAGCCCAATCAGTACTTAAAATTCTAGGGAATGGTGTACATCATTCATTCAGCTTCACTATTTAATTACATCTCGTGATATTGAGATTGAGATTGTTATTGTTATTAAAGAATCGTAATTTTCCCTATAGCTTATAAATTTTTAAGTGCAAGTTAGAAACATTTGCACTTTTGGCAAAAATAAGTGGAATTGAGTGAGTAGTCGCGTTATTAGAACTCTGAATTCAAAAATTGAAATATCTCGAAATTCATTAGAAATATAATTATTGATTGTAGTTTTTTTTTAACTTTCTTAATACTTCTACTATATTTTCTTCGCAGATAGTATGTGAAAATCTTTATAAATAGAAAAATTACACGATTGCTGAAAATTGCACTAAAAGTAAATGGATGTTTTTTTTTGTTTTAAATTTTGAATAAAAAAAAACAAGCCTATCGAATTTTTCTTATTTAAACATCTGGTGAAAGATCTGAACAAAAAAAGTTCCTAAAGGGGTTCTTCAGTTATCGCGTGTTATGTGTTAAAAAGTTTAGTTTTTAAATTATCACAATTACTGACGTTTTCTCGTTATAAAAAATGGATACCCCAACGATATCCTTATAATTTTATTTCAGATGCATAGAAACATATCTAATGATTTTATTTAATTATCTTTTCGAAAAAAAAATAAAAATAAGCGGTTTGCAATCGTGATTTTACTTTACTTGATAGGGAATGCGTACCGGAGAAATGTGGCAACGCCGCAACAGCACACTGTCGCATTTCTCTCACTCCAACTTAAGATCCCTATGCGATTTACTTCCACACATGTAAATACTGACTCAAAAGTAAGAGTTGCCAGCAGGGTATGTTGATGTACAGCCAACTATATTAATATATACACATAACATTTGATGTAGAAGAAAACTTGTATTTATATTCTTTTTTGTTAATTAATATTGAAAGACTTAAAACATTATATTTTTATTGAAGTACCTATGTATTTAACTTTTTCTGTAATACCTCTGCTTTTTCTCATTCTGTAACTTCTTCTCTGTTTCAATAATAGAGGACGGCCCAACTTTAAATAAGTATTTAATTAATTTTGTATTCTTATGTCCCAGCAAAAAAGAATAGACTGTATAAAACCTAGTTATATAAAGGATGCTTAAACTAGAGCATTTCTGAATTTTACTTAAGTGTATTATTAAAAAAATATATTAAAACTAAATATATGTATTAGATTACTTAAATTGAATAAGAATGCAAGCGTTTTGAACAATTCTAAGATAACATAAATTTTAAATGTATTTAGAGATACTCTATTGTCCAATATGCAATTGTTATTATTTTTCAGTATTTATTATTGAATGCATATGAAATATTTTTTGATTTACACTATAAATATATGATGTTACATCTTGAATTTTGTTATTAATTAATTAAACCTCCATTTTTTATTCTGTTAATTTTTCATTGTGTACTTCCTTTTTTTGATCAGTTTTTGAAAGGAAGCTAATTTGGCTCACCGTGTAGAATGTGGAAAATATATATTTATTTTTATAGAAATGGCAACACTGATTGCTGTTTTTTTAAATTGGTCAATCAGCTGTTTTGTGCCAAAATATTTATGGTTATGTTTATTCAACTTTTATTTACTTTCTTATCAGTTTTAAATTTCACATTAAATACCTATATTGTTAAAATGTTAAGTTCTGTTTTATTGAATAATTCGTTCTTAAATTTCTAAACAATGTATTCGAATGGGTTAATTTTAAATTTTCGTCAAATACTTAAACCGAAAACCTTGAGATTTATATCCACTACTTTACCGAGTGCAAAATTCAAAAATGAGAGTGGAAGTACGCTTAATATTTTTGATCGAAATACCAAAAATCTTCAGCGACAAAGGGCTGCGATAGCAGAGGACGTTAATCTTTATGATTACCTGAAGGATGAAATTGGGTTCCGATTAGCTGATAGAGTATTTGATATCAAAAGAAAATTTAAACTAGCTGCTGATATCGGTATAGTTTTTTTGTTATGTATTGTTAATTTATTAAAAGTGTATTATTGTAGGATGTAATAGAGGATATATTTCGAAACATATCTCGCCTGATTCTGTTGAGGAACTTATACTATGTGATGTAAGTCAAAAAAATTTAGATACTGTTTCGGTTATGGATGGTATCAGAGTTAGAAAACAAATCTTAGACGAGGAATATATTGAGGTAAGTAGTGGTGTTTCATAATAAAAATGTGTGATATTATGTAAATTTATAGTTTGAACCAAATACTTTAGATTTGGTTGTATCATGTTTAAGCCTGCATTGGGTAAATGATTTACCTAAAGCATTCAAAAAGATTTTGGAAAGTCTTAAGCAAGATGGTGTGCTTTTGGCAGCCGTTTTTGGGGGTGATACACTTTATGAACTTCGTTCGTCTTTGCAATTGGCTGAATTAGAAAGGAGAGGAGGATTGTCTCCTCATATATCTCCTTTCACAGAAGTTAGAGATATAGGAAGCTTACTTACAAATGCTGGTTTTACTATGCTCACAATTGATACTGATGAGATTGTTGTTAACTATCCGACAGTTTTTGAGCTCATGTGGGATTTAAAAGGTATGAAAAATTGTAATGAAGTACGCATTAAAAAGTAATTTACATTATAAAGTCATAAATTAATATAATTTTTTTCAAAATTTTGTTTATTTACATACAGGTGCTTATTGATTTGAACTTTAGAGTGTATGTATGTCTTGATATACAGAATGAGCAATGTCAATGCAATTGGAGGCATGCCATTAAGTTGGACTTACCCAAAGGATTTTTTGTGAATATGAGAATGCATGGGAAAAAGTTCACTGATAAAAATTGAAAAATTGAAAAAAAAATATTGTAGGGATTGAAAAGATCAAGTGAATATGCACCTGAACAATGCAATTTTAGGATCAAGGTCAAATAATATTAAAAAATCACATTATCAAAGGTACAAACATCATAAAATTAATTTGTTTACAAAATTAAACATATGTATGTTGACTTATATATTGGTGTATTTTATTTTTAAATATACATAACTTATTTATGAATGTTTTAACCTTTACAGTATTATTTCTGTATGAATAATAAATATTTTTTGATTGTATTAAAGATAATATTTTTACTTTTTTAATTTAAACTTGCAGTCATAATACCTGTATGCTGTAGAATATATAATGACCTGCATGCTCTAGAATAGGTTGTGACGTCATGTAGGTTGCACTTTGCACAAAAAAACGGCGTCCAGTTGGTTTGGAAATGACGATCGATGACATTCCTCATTCTACATATAAAATCACAGTCATCTTCATTTCATAGCCATCGCTGATGTCGTTTTTTTTCGATCATTGTGTTAGATATGTATACAGTGTCACAGATAAGTTCTCATCATAAGGAAATTTGACTTCAGAAATAGTTTCTGCTTTGATTTATATTAAGTTTAATGACTAAAAAATTGGTTTCTGGGCTGAATTTCGATAAATTTGATTATTATTATTTTAGATTTTTTAAATCAGGGCCGTTAGAGGAGTAAGTTACCATATAGGGGCAATGTATAAACAAAACAATACATACTATAAGCAGGCTATAAAAAATACATTTTGACATTTAGTATTGTGCAAATAATTTCATGATGCGATCTCGATAAATGGGGAAGTTATTCATACTTTGCATAACTTTAGTCTAATTTGTTACAACTAATACCGGGTGCGCCTAAAAAGTGGCTCCCCCCTTTAACTTTTTTATTTTTTTTGAGATAAAATAACGGGATTTGGTATGTTAGTATATGACATAAATTAGAATTGATTGACGTATTCAATTGTTTTCGGTCACCGGAAACCTGTTTCACCGGAAATGACTACAACTTTGGATTTTTAAATGGCACTCTCGGTATTTTTTTACTTTACTGGATAGAAAATGACACTCTGAATATAATGAAATATGATATGTCAACTTTTGACATATACCCGCTCAGAAACCATTGTATTTTAAATTTCAATCTAGAGTGCCATGGCTGTGTTAAAAACACTAATTTTTAATCAAGGAGCCTTGGAAAAATAGATTTGATCATCTAATGTTTATAGTGTCTTATCCTGGCCGGCTCATTAGCATATTTGGAAAAAGTATTTTTTGACGAATAATTTGATACCACACACTTGGTATTTCGAGTCAAATTGCCGTTATGAACCATATGTTAGAATTTCAAATAAACCATATGCGAAAATGTCAAAAATTGACATATGATCTGTCATTCTATTCAGAGTGTCATTTTCTATTGAATAAAGTAAAAAAAAATACCGAAGGTGCCATTTAAAAATCAAAAGTTGTAGTCATTTCCGGTAAAAACGGAAGTTACCGAAAGCAACTGAATATGTCAAACAATCCTAATTTATGTCATATACTAACATGCGAAATCTCGTTGTTTTATCTGAAAAATTAAAAAAGTTATAGGGGTGAGCCATTTTTCAGACGACCCGGTATATTATTCTTTAAAAGCTGTTAATTGGTTCAATACATTTAACTGAATATAAGACCACTAGATAAATATTTGACTAACAATCGCAGTACCATCAATTAGTTTTGCTTCTACCACAAGAATCGGCTGCTATTGGTTTTAAATTTCGAAATTTTTTATCTATATGGCTGAAAATGAATGTACTTATGTAAATTTAAAAAAGAAACAACTTTTTCAAATACACTTTTTCAAAATTCTTTTTCAAATATTGACAGATATCCGATAGCAACATCCTAAATTTTATTACGTCATTTTTAATCTATTTTACAGAAAAAACTAACGCTTTAGTAAAATTTTACCTAAATCTATAAATAAAATAAAATCCCATATGATGCAGACTTATCTGTGACACTGTATAATCGAATAAAAATAATGGCGAGAATATATATATATATATATATATATATATATATATATATATATATATATATATATATATATATATATATATATATATATATATATATATATATATATATATATATATATATATATATATATATATATATATATATACTATAGCACGTAATAGCAAGTTTATAATATTTAAAGTATAAGTCAGAAGTAAGAAAATACCGCGAGAAAATCAGAAAAATGTAACTGTGAAGCATACTGGTTCTATGTGTATCATGACTGCAATTACTAAAAATATTTTTTAAGTTTAATGTTAGGTGATAATTATTTTTATATAGAATTGTTGTAGGTATGGCTGAAAGCAATGCTGCCTTAAATCGTTCTGTTCATTTGCAAAGAGATGTTCAGTTTGCAGCAGCTGCAATATATGAGCAACTTTATGGCAAAACAGATCCTGAGACGGGAAAGGTCACAATTCCTGCAACATTTCAGGTATGTGTATAAGCACATTCAACATTTCTACATAAATATAATTTTCGAGCCTTTTCTAATATTAAAAAATATAACATTACTTTTTTGTGATTTTTTTTATCTACATTTACAGCCAAAGATTTACAACAAAAAAGTATACAACAATTGGCAAATTTCTTATTATTAAATTTTCATAAAGAAATTTGAACAGAGTAGTTGTTCCGTAAGAACGAAACATTTTCAACAAGTGCGTGATGGCAATTTAAAATAGCAACGCTTTTTACGTATGCGCAACACTATGTCTAGGTGCACGTTAACGTGTACCACATTATAATATTTGGGTACACGGGGAAACATCATCACAAGACACAGCGTATACTCAAAAAGGGGTTAATTGATCATCAGTCGAAAAGTATCAACGAGCATAGTGGTTTAGACTTTAATTATTTGAGTTTATGTATCAGTTTAAAAAAAATACAGTCTTCATATTTTTGACGTGTATGACATAAAACGAAATGACTATTAAAAATAATTACTAATTAGAAACTGATTGTTATTTAACCATTTGCTGTTTTAAAACTGTTATTTATAAATAATAAAGTTGCCACAGTTGTTACATGCAAAAATAACAGTTACACAAATATCAGTACGTCGAAAGTGATACGTAATCGGCATTATCGCGCTACCAAATTCGACTAAGCTTGCCAACTACTGCTGTGATGTGATATCGGTATTTCCGTGTCACAAGGCTTGTAACTGTTTATAAAAAAATAACAGTCTGTAATGTCTATAAGTGTCTCTACTAGAGAATGCAATCCCGCACCAAAATATCAATCCCGCAGACCCGCGGGATTAAAGCAATCAATCCCGCGGATCCGGAAAATTGCGGGACTGTAAACATAGTTGAATATCTCTTGAACTAAAAAAGATTTTGGGATGCGGTTTGGACCAGGTTTTAGACGCATCTATTGTGATTAAGATGCTATATGGTTTTCGAAAATATATTTAGCGAATTCTCGTATACAGGGTGTTTTACAATAGTGTACATTTTTGGTTAAGAATCTTTTTACCGAAATTTTACAATTTTTGAAAACTAGAGTTAACCCAGATTAACAATAAAAAACAAACAACCAATCACGGCGGGTCTCGATCAGTTTCAGGAAACGTGGGAACTAATTTTTATAACACGGGCTTATATTTATCGTACTATTTTGTGAAATAGCACGAGGCAATCAAGGTCAAACGTTGAGGTGGCTTCAGAAAAATAAGTAAACATTGAGTACGAATAAATATCATTAATTTATAATGGAGTGTAATGTAATACCACTATATCAAAGTGATATGAAAAATCAAAAACAGTTCATTTAGAAAACAGTTACCGATGGTAGATTAAATTGGCTATTCCTCTAAGGTTACACAAGAATATTTAGTTTTAATCATTGTCTAATATTATTAATTACAGTATAGTAAAAAATATATATAAAACAGTGACTAATACGCGGTCTACCATTTTTCGCCTTATAATCCACGGTAGTGCGTCTTATGAACAAAATATACACAAAATTATTTAAAAAATCGTCTTATTATTTATTATTTCTGGCTATGGTAAAGTAACATTTATACTGTAGTCTGTAGCAAAGTTTAGTTTACGAATTTGGTTTTGTTTTTCTAGTTTTAATTGTCTAAATCCCTGCATAATATATACTAGTTGAATGGATTTATATGAAACCATGCTGAGTGCTAATAAAAGTATCATTTACCGATTTCTCTTAAGAACAATAAAACAACATTGCTTTTAAATAATGTCCGTGGACCATACTTTTGTTGACATCGGGTCAATTAATAATTTTCTCAAGCGGATATATTGATAATGTTACCAGTATTACTCATCAAGCAATACTACTGTTATATTAATCAATTAAGGCCTTAAACAAACATATATACAATTTTATACACTAATTCATTATAATAAAATTAAATCATAAAAATATTGTAATGATGTTCCTGCAGTTTAAGTGAAAAGTTTTGTCCCTAAATATCTACTATATATATAATAAACGCGTGTTCAAATATTCTGTGGAATATATATCAGTATAACATAAAACGAAATGTAATTAACGAAATATCATCGTAACAACAGCTATTTTAGAAACGTCTAGGTTTACTTATTTCACTGAGATTTATGAAAAAAAAATCCTTTGCCTTGGATACAGATACCGCCACGTTTCGGAAACAGCTCAAAACAAAACAAAATTGAACGAGGCAACAAAAAACGCTAAAAAATCCCCCCTCGCTCTCCTCACGAGTAGTTTTCAGGCGCTTTTAAGAATCGCGAAAGTAGGTCGAGGTAAACCGAAGTAGGTCAAGACCAAGAACAGTTAACCTAATAGGACTGCTCATTCAGCCAAAAGTGTTCGCCAGGTGCATGCGAAAACTACTCGCTTTGTGACGTCATTGTAGCCCTTGTCATGGTTATTAGTCCTTATCCGGCAAACAATAATAATAAACACACACGTGCATAATTGGTTACCGAATGCAAAACGTTCATTATTTAGTTTATTTATTTAAACAGCTTATATGTATGCAGTATAGAAAATTAACTGTATAAATCGTATTAAATACTCGGATAATGCATTTTTAAAAACAGCAGTTCCCAGCATCTCCTTTTGCAAGCATTCTTTTTAGAGTACTTCCATATTTTGCTTTAAAATAATTAATAAACAAAATCGTGGGCACTTAGTATGCACTTTGTCACAATCCACAACACAAAATGAACGTATTTATACACTTTATAGCTCTAAAAACTTTAAAGACACCTTTTTCACATTTAAAATTGACAAAATAATTAACTCAAAATTTCTCAGCTGTTATTTTTATAAGTTTACCATAGGCAACTAATAATACACACTATCATGACAAGGCCACGAAGGCTTTGACAAGGGCTACAATGACGTCACAACTGTCAGCTGAAGCGCGGGAAGAGGCGAACGTACGTCTTATGAGGATGAGCAATCCTATTAGTTTACCGTTCTTGGGTCAAGACAACCTGGAAATAAATCGAAATGCGTCAAAGTTGGGCGACGAAATGCGACTTTGACATGTTTCGAATTGTTCCTTGTATAGTGTGTAAGCTGTTTTTATTCCAAGAATGTCTAAAATTATATAATAGGTCGTCAAAGTTTCAGACACAGAAATATACAAATTAAAACATACATATAAATACATAAAAACTAACAGTTTCTATATAACTGTGGGAAAAGCAGTATTTTTTATTGGATATTTTCATTTTCTGTATTGTTAACTCTATATATTTTGTTGTTTCGGTAGATAATCAACATGCTGGGTTGGAAGCCGCATCCTAAACAACCCAAACCAATCGAACGAGGTACGGGCGAAGTGTCATTAAAGGATCTGTACAAGTTGGACGAAATTATCAAAGAAATCAAAACTGTGAAGAATGACTCTGAAGGACGTTAGTTATGTTTTCGAAGTATTATTATGTAATTTAATTAATAAACGACTGGATTGTTGGAAAAGTGATAAATAAAAACCTCGTTAATTTTGTTTCGTCATGTTTATGTATTTTTAGAAAGACGCTGTAAACAATTTAATAAAAACTTTATACGGGAATGTGTTTTAATTATTTTTAATATATCTTAGTTTGAAGATTTAAAACCCTGTTAATTAATACCTTACCTGAATATCAAGATTACAGTTGAGGGTTGGAACCTTTGGTGTTCAACAGCAAAATAAAAACACTAAATCACCACAATACACCAAAACACTTTTACTTTTACACTGGACGCGCGTTTCGCTAACCATGTTAGCATCATCATTGACAGTTTGGCCACATTGAAAAAGTACAGGAATATTTATTTATTTAAACTTTTAAAACGACGTCAATTTAGATTTGTTTTTATAAATCTCATAGAATCATAATTATACAGGGTGTTTAAAAGATGCACGACTACATTTCACAGCGTTATTCTTTGTCAAAAAATATGGAAAAATTGTATAAACATGGGGAAATGGATAGTTTGTAAAATAAAAGATGCTAAACTTAAAAAAAATACTTTCGTTTTATTTCAGACATTTACATAAATCTGATATATTTTATAAACCGATAAAAGTATACGTATAGTAAACCGACAAAAGTTAAACTGTAATTAAAATAACCATATTACAAATGTCACTGCATATATCTTAATCAATTCTTATCTTATCAATTTAATCAAGATGACTCTGAGATTACAATCGTTGAACTAGGTATTTAGATACCATATGATCGAAAAGACGGCGTCCAGTTGCCTCGGAAATGAACATCTTCATATCATAGCCATCGCTGACGCCGTTTTTTTCATCATATTGGATTTAACATACAAAATGACGGCGATCAAATTCCAAGCCAACTCTGACGCATTTTTTCGATCATATGGATATATTACTGGATATAAAGTACCGTATGATCGAATAAAAATGGCGTCAGCGATGGCTATGAAATGAAGATCGCTGTCATTTTATATGTAAATTTATATGGGAAATGTCATTGATCGTCATTTCATAGCCATCGCTGACGCCGTTTTTATTCAATCATACGGTACATTAGAACAATATAAAAGCATTGCTTGATTTTGTTATTAATAGAATAATGAGATTTATGTTTGTTCATGGACATAATAATATTCAATAGTTTTTTTATAAATTTTAAATATTTCTTTATAAATTTTTTCAAATGGTTTATTTTTATTCTCAGATTATTATAGATTTAAATGTTATATTCAAAAGAAAAAGAATTTAAATCTATGTCACCCCTTAAATATCGATTTTGCGCCTACATTTTTCTCCCTTGCCATGTTGCCAGCAATTTGATATATTCTCTGTTATACGAAACTTAAAGTCTGGAGATGCTGTATTTCTATTTGGTTAATATGATATAGGTACTCGTTTTATTAAGTACTATAAAATATTATTTAGTTTTAGAGCTTGCCCTTCTGGTCTTATAATATCTAGAGATATTTTATACGTATTAAAAAAGGTTTCATTAAGTTTTAACAAAAAAAAATTGCAGTATAGTCAGCTTTTTTCGCATATGATTTAATTAGCCGTTTTGAAAATAAACCGTTTTAAGACTATAAATCTATACATTAATATTATAATTATATTTTTATACAGGGTGTCCCAGGTTGAGCGTGCATTAGAAGTTTCTAGAGAACTATAATATCTAGATTGGAGATTTTTTGCACATCATTGTTTCACATTGAGATCTATCAATTAAAAATATTTTCAGTATGGCGGCACTTCCGGAAATACAAGGGTTACCCCCGTTTTTTATTACATACTTAAATTGTCTGTAAAATATTATGAATTTTGATATCAAACACTCTATGTATATCTAACATTAACCGTTTTAGAGGAAAAAAAATATTTAAAATTTTTGAAGAAAAAAAAACTGCCTGTCAAAAAAATTTGTATCGCTTAACGTCAAATTTAGTGATTACCACTGCCACTGTGACATAAAGAGAAGACTAGAGGCTATCTATTTCAAAAATTAAATAGTTGAATGTCATATAATAGTGGCCGTAGCTGTCATGGAATTGAGAGATTAAAAAATTATTATAAATCATTTTTTTCAAATGGAAACCAACTTTTTTTATTGCACTAGTGAAAAGGTTTTTCAATTCGTTACTTTTTGATTATCCTACATGTTCCTATACCTAAAATAAATCGTTTTTAAGTTATTTATGATTTAGTTTTAAAGCGTAAATTTATCTTGCTTTTATCCAGTTTTCCTTGACATTAAGTGTCAAACCATCATACAGTTTATTTCCTTCTGTCAAAAAAGTAATTATATGAATTTCGTATATAATATACGAAATTAGTATACAATTAGTATACAGCAGTATTTATAATAAATACTGCTGCTAAAACTTTATAAAGTATATTTATAAAAATATCTCGTATTTTAGTGATATCTAATGGCAGTATGACATGGCCAGATATGAGTGACGTCAAGCTATTTCAAGCTACTAGAGGTGGACAAAGAATGAACGAGTATTAAAAATGAATTGTGAGATTGGATTCACGGCTTAAGTGGCGTTCAGACGGGTCGATTTTAGTTGATCAACTTTTATTTGACCATCTTCTCAATTTAGAGTGTCTTGGCCATAAATTATTCGTAAAAAGATGCTTTTTCCAAATATGCTAATGAGCCACCCTTTGCAGTAATTTCCGGTCAAACAGGAAGTGGCCGATTGCTTGATTTATGTCTTGTACTAACGAAACAAATCTCGTTTATTTATCTCAAAAAATAAAAAAAGTTATAGGGGCGAGGCACTTTTGAGAAACACCCGGTATGTAGAGTGTCTAGGCCAACAGCAATAATACTGAATCCTTTTATTCAATCACACAGTAGGTATATTCAAAGCTTGAAGAATCATCCAGTTTGCCCCTTCAGACGATCCGCAGAGCAGACAATTGGCAACGTCGCCTTGCCGTCTTGGAAAATCGACCGCCGGGCCAGGACAAGTGCTTGAAAATCGTGCGTATGTTCCATTAATCTAGAAAAAAATACATATAAACATATCCCGATAAAAACATGGAGTTCAGCGAATTGGACAACAGGAATTATCCCGGTGCTCCGGTGCCTGGGTCCAGGCCCATGGTAGATCCAGAGGCTCATGGAGAAGTCGATCCAACACTGTAAGCTTTATTATATTATACAATTATATAATAATTTTATGCAGAGTTGAAACCCCATTTGTTGTTTAAATATTAATGTTAAGTTTGAAAATGTACACTAATTCACAAAATATTTCTATACTCATGGAAAGGCCAATCCCCAATAGTTTTTTTACATATATTATAAAATTTACATCTATAAGTCTAAAAAGCATTATAATGGTTCTGCACTTATGTTTAAGTTTGTCTTATAGTTTAAAGTATAAATATATATATTTGTTCTTGGTACTTTAGTTCACAGTCATGGAGAAGTAAATCCACATTGTGAGCTTTATCTAAACAATTATACAGAGTGTTTCAAAAAACATGTGCCATCTCTCGTGGAAAGATTCCTCACGTAAAAATAAGATTTATTTTTCATATCAACATACATAGGCTACAGGGTGTTAAAGTCTTAATAATCTTTAGATTTATTATAATTTTCTTCCAAGTACTTTTAGTGACTCAAATGAAATTTTGAAGGTAAAAATTATTATAAGTGCTACATATTTTAATGCTAAAAAAATGTCCATAAATTCATCAGGGACGTGCATATGGGTTATCGCTGGAATATTTTTCAAAGAAAAAACATGTGCGCCACTGATTTTTTTTCTTTTGATATCAAAATTATGTAGGCCGTTTAATGCCAATTAAAAGTTATCTCTTGATATTTTGTCGAATTCGGCCTTTTTGATGAGATAAACGCAATTTTATTAATCACAATCATTAATAAAACGAATTTGATAAATTATATTAAGATTATATATATATTTTACCTAATTTATTATCAAATATTATTACTATTAGTTATTATTATTATTACTATTAGTCCAACCTACAGCAATTTCAAATAAAAAAATAATGGTATTTAACATATAATTACAAAAAATCTAATTTTAAAAAGTTTTAACATCCTGTAACTCCAAAACTATGCATTTCCATACCCATGTTTATAAGAACTTTTTTTCATATTTTTTTGGTGAGGAATGAATGAGTATTTATTTAAATCTTTCGCACGTTAATGATATTAAAATTTTTTAAAGGTTGCTATTAGACTTGGATCAATGCAAATTAATAAAATTGCGTTTATCTGATCAAGCAGGCCGAAATCGACAAAATATCAAGAGATAACTTTTAATCGGCATTAAACTGCTTACATTATTTCGCTAACATGAGAAGACAGTAGCGTACATGCTTTTTTAAAAAAAAATATTCCAGTGATAACCCATATGCACGTCCCTGGTGAATATATCGACACTTTTTTAGCTTTAAAATATGTCGCATTTATAGTAACTTTTACCCTCAAAATTTTATTCGACACGCTAAAAGTACTTGGAAGAAAATTATAATAAATCGAAAAAATATTAAGACTTTAACACCCTGTAGCTACGAAACAAAGCAGAATCGGACCTATGTTGATATGAAAAATAAATCTTATTTTTACATGAGGAATCTCTCCACGAGAGATGGCACATGTTTTTTGAAACACCCTGTATAATAAATAATTGATCATTTAAACAAAATTAAAGGAAATACCGCTATGTTCATGCATGGAGAAGTACCGTATGATCGAGAAAAAACGGCGTCAGCGATGGCTATGGAATGAAGATCGCTGTCATTTTATATGTAAATTTATATAGGAAATGTCATCGATGTTCATTTCCCAGCCAACTGGACGCCGTTTTTTTTCGATCATACGGTAGTTGTTACATTTCCAGCTTTATTAATACTATACTTAGGTATATTTTTGAGATTTTCACTCCAAACTTTTCTAGAGAAATGGTGGCTCACATTTTAATTTTTTTCATATATTACACATACATTGTAGTCTTTTAACTAAATTCTGTGTATTTTTGTGACTGCTACGTTTTGACAATTTTCTATTTCAAAAATTCAGTAATTCAGAAATCATACGTTCCAAATGTTCTTTGAAATATAACTATTTTTAGATTAAATTTTCTTCAGATTTAAAGCTCTTCCAAAATTATAAAATAGCAAATTCGGATAATTTTTTAATTTCAAATATTTATAATGTCCTTTTTAAAATGAAGTAAAAAAGAAATAAACTTTAGCCGACTATACCGGGTGTGTCTTAGAACTGGTTCACACCTCTAACTTTTGTATTTTTTCGGATAAAAAAACGAGATTTGGTTTGTTAGTATAGGCAGAGTATAGGACATAAATCAGGATGGATTGACGTATACAATAATTGTTTTGTGTCACTTCCTGTTTCGCCGGAAATGACTACAACTTGATATTGAAATGACACACTCAGAATTTTTAACTTTATTCGATAGAAAATGACACTCTGAATAGAATAACATATCATATGTCAACTCACTGAATAGAATGACATATATGCCGACTTTTGACAGTTTCGCATATGTTTTATTTGAAATTGTAACATGCGGCAAGTGTGTGGTACCAAATTATTCGTTAAATATGCTTTTTTGAAATATGCTAATGAACCACTCCTGTTCCATTTGAAAAAAATGAGACATGATTAAAAATATTATTTGGGCCCATTCTAACCGGCCAGAACAAGACACGAAAATCATTAGACTATCAAATCTCTTTTTCCACGGCTCCTTGATTAAAAAATATTTTTTAACACAGTCGTGGTACTCTAGATTTAAATTTAAGTTATGATTTTTAAAGCGAAAATGTCAAAAGTTGACATGTGACATGTCATTCTATTCAGAGTGTCATTCTTTATCAAATAAAGTAAAAAAAATGCCAAGGCTGCCATTTAAAAATCAAAAGTTGTACTCGTTTCCGGTAAAACAGGAAGTGACCGAAAACTATTGAATACGTCAATGAAATACAGAGTGTTCTATTTGAAATAACGGAGAAAATATCATATTTAGTATTTACTCACCTTACTTACTGCCATTACTCGTTGACGAGTATTTGCCACGCTTCAGAAGCTGGTTACGCAAGGCGTTTTCGTTCATGAGCTTTTCTGTGACTGAAAAGCCCGATACGTGATGATATGTCCCTTTCGCACTCCGGACTTACAAAAATGTCATTACTTTGTTGCCTCTTTACTTTTTGGTTGTCGTTGTTAACTGAGTTTACAATTCTTCTCCATTGTGTTCTATAGTGCGCTGCTTCCTCCCACTGATCTGCATGCACGCTTATCCCCTTTAAATTTTCATGGAAAATATCCTTGTATCTTTTGAGTTACCCACCCGATTTCTCCGTACCGTCTACAAGCTTATCGTAAAGAAGAGGGGATTTAGTAATCATGACTTAAACGCTCTCGCAGCTAGCTTTTTCAAGGACTGATACGTTTGAGACATTTGGGGGTAAATGTCTCAAACGTATCAGCACTGTATACAGGGTGTTTCAAAACAAATGCGAAAAACTTCGGGAGTGATTCCTGGTTCAAAATAAAGGGTAGTTTGCTTTATAAACGTTGGGTCAAAAGTCAACCATTAGGGAGATATCGCGGTACAAAGATGGCGGAAAAATAATGTTTTTATTCTTTATCTTGAAAACGAAAAACGATAGACTAATGAAATTTTATGGAAGCATTACTGTTATGAAAACATACTTTCTGGTAATTTTCTCACTTTTTTAAAATGATGGAAGGTGTTGAAATAAACTACCCCTATCATTCTTGTTAACGAAATTAAAAAAAAATGCTTATCAAACACATGCAAAAAAATTAATTTGGATAGTTTAGTTTGTTTAGAAACTTTTTTATCTCTTGTGTTTTTTTGATAAAACTCACCGATTTGAAATTAAAAAATAAAATGTAAAGCATTACATATCAGGACAAAAAACATTTTTAGATAAAGAATCTAGTGGGCTGCTCTAATTTTTTTAGGAAAAAATCTAGTCGGCCGCTGTCACTTTTTAGGATGTTTCTAATATTATTTTATTGACATTACTCTACTGCAATACGTTATTATCTAGATTCTTATTATTATCGTTATTATCACTAGATTCTTTATCTAAAAATGTTTTTGATCCTGATATGTAATGCTTTACATGTTATTTTTTAATTTCAAATCGGCGAGTTTTATCAAAGAAACACAAGAGATAAAAAAGTTTCTAAATAAACCAAGCTATCCAAATCAATTTTTTTGCATGTGTTTGATAAGATTTTTCTTTAAATTTCGTTAACAAGAATGATAAGGGTAGTTTATTTCAACCCCTTCCACTCATTTTAGAAAAGTGAAAAAATTACCAGAAAGTGTGCTTTCGTAACAGTAATGCTCCCATAAAATTTCATTAGACTATCTCTTTTCGTTTTCAAGATAAAAAATAAAAACATTCTTTTTCCGCCGTCTTTGTACCGCGATATCTCCCTAATGGTTGACTTTTGACCCAACGTTTATGAAGCAAACTACCCTTTATTTTGAACAAGGAATCGCCTCCTGAAGTTTTTCGCATTTGTTTTGAAACATCCTGTATAATTCTAGTCTATGTCACTAGGTATGATTAGTTAAAAAGACATTAAAACAGTTTTAGTTAAACAGCTTTAATAAATTAACTTAATGATTTTTAACATTGAAAGAGCTTTAAAATATTTGAAAAATTAGTTATAAATGGACATATTTCAAAAACCACTAGATATTAGCATTCCATTTGAATTGCAACCTGGGCCACTGTATCTATCATATTTATTAATAAACGAAAATATATTTTATTTTATAAATATTTAATAAAGAAGAAATGTCAAAGTTGATTGCTAATAGTTTTTTAATAATCTCGCCATAAATGCATTTTCAGTTTAATAATAAAGTTAAATGAACTATTTTCTTTCATTGTTAAGTTTTCATTTTATTTGATTTATTAGATATACTATTATATATTATTGTAATCTGTTGAATTATTCTGCCTTAAAAATACAAGAATAACTGATGATTTTCTCATTTTCTCTTAAAAATATAATATAAAAGATAAACTTATATTTTTCATCATCCTGATCCATCAAAAACTTGATTTCACCCACAAAGGTTAATTAAATACTTTTTATTACAGATATCCGGAACCTAAGGAAGCGACGCATAAAATTAGAGGAAGATCCGATATCATAGAAATGCTTTTCGGTCCAATCGATCAAGAGCTTATTATCGTGAAGAGTTTTTATTTTTTCTTTTACTCTGCATTCGGATCTCTCTTCCCTCTGATGGGTGTCTATTTCAAGCAGATGGGCATGAACGCAACTCAGAGCGGATTTCTTATTGGTAAGGTTTTAATTCAATAATACAAAGTGATAATTGGTGTATCTGTCCAAAAAATCCTATATTGATGTTTTGCCACTGAAGAAGGTTGTAATTTATTTTTATATTGATTATTTTTTTTAAATGGTGTAGTTTAAAATTCGAAAAAGATATAATGTTTTGAAAATAGATTTGTGTGTCTAGAAACTTCTATCTTTTTTTAATCTTTTTAAAGTTACTGCTATTTTTGATGTAACTTTTATATCAATTTGTAGTAAATGATGTCTAGAGATTGACCTCGCCACCATTATCATCGATTGTCATACCTCAGCCGTCTTTGACGCCGTTTTTTTTATCATACGGTACTACGGTCGTATTTGTTACAAGTGTACCTACATACTAGCGATGGGAACTATCGAATGAATTAGACTATCGAATGGTTACTGAATGAATGATTTCAACTATCGAATGGTTTTATTCGAATAAAATCATTCATTCATTTGTATACTAAAGCATATGTGACAACCTCGCCGGGCGACTAAATGGTTATCGTTGCGCCACGACTATCGAATGCTTTTGATAAATGAAATTTAGTATTCGTTTGATCTGTGTGTGCGTCAGTGTATTATTAGTTCTTCCAAATTTTTATAACTTCGCCTTGTAAATACTATGCTATTTTTGCGTTTATTAAAATATTTAAAATACTAAAATAATCGTTTTTTTTTTAAATTGACAATTGTGTGCGAAGTAGTCAAAATTTTTCCGAAAATTTGTGTGATTTTCCGTAGCCCGATCTTTCAATTATTTAATTTTATATGGTATATTATGGTTAGGTTAGATTGCATTTTTTTAAAGGGAAATTTTGAGAAGTAGCAATTTTTAACAGAGATGAGATGACCTTACAATTAATTTTAAAAATACATATTTGTATTTTAGATGTTTTAATAATATGAATTAGTTGAACTTAATAATCACATTAAAGTAATGTGGTTAAGTAAATTGTTGTCGAACTCAAATTTTGGGGTGAGAAAATTAAATTGAAAGTTTTACACGTGCCAATTTAAAAAAAAAGTTAAGAATGTTTGTATTTTGTTTATGCTAATTCTCTTACATGTAGTTTTTTGCGAAGAAATATTTCATTTATGTTTTAAAGTAAATGCCAGCAAAAGTAAATATTATTTTTAAATAATAATATAAGGTAATAAAAAGTAATATAAATAATTTTGATTTCTAATTTTTTATTTATATTTTCCTTCCATTACACTGCATGCTTAGAAAATTAATAAATGTTTATATTTCATGATTTTAAAATTTGTTGTTAACATAACAAACCCCTGTACCGAAAGTACCGGGAATTCCCGGCTCTTTCGAGACATCAGAGAACCGGGACTCGAAATTATTAATTCCCGGTTCTTTCGGTACTTTCGGGACTCGGTAATAATAATTAAAAGCATACTTTTTGTTACGACCATTACTTTTTTTTAGCGAAAGACTTTTGATACTTTCTAGCGGTCGAAATCAAACTCTTCTAAATAAATAGCAATGCTGTCTTTTAATGCTCTTAGTTCATATTTCTGAAGTTATTTTGAAGTTTCTATAATGTTTATTAGCAATTATTGTAGTTTAAATATGTTATTTTATTATTAGTATAATATTGTTAAATGTTTTAGTTATATTTTTTTGTGTTATGTTTTTATAGGCTTTTGTATTTTTAATTAAAAATGTTAAGTTTTTTTTTCAAATTTAGTTAAGTTGGTGTCGAGGTTGGTTGATGTTGTTTGATGTAATTTTTAAGCTACCTATGTGTTTTTTTTCGCTTGTGTTCATTATTTGTGTTCATGTTTACTTCCTCAAGACTTAATAAGTTGACATTATTTTCATTTGAAACTCAATTTTTTATCGGTTTTTACTTTTGATAATCATTCCTTGCTTGCTAATTACTACCAATTAGGGTTCACCATCACAGAATCGGAACTCGGTAACAATAATTAAAAAAATATTTTTTTGTTACGTGAGAAAGTCCTTTGATGACTTGATTGTCTTTGATTACTATTGTTCTTGCTTGTTTTCTCCTTTGAAGTTCCTATAATATGTGTTTTAAATGTTTTAATAGATATTCGCATTTTTAATTCAATATTTTAGTTAAGTTGGTTTATGTTGTTTGATATGAAATTTAAGTTACCTATACTTTTTTCTTGTGTTCATGTTAATTTTATCATGACTGATTACTTAATAATTTGATATTATTTTCATTAAAAATTCATACAGAATTTTCAATTTTTTATCCATTTTACTTTGAAAAACCATCCCTTCCTTTCTGATTGGTGAACTGCACCACCAATGAACAAAAATTAGTCGAAAGTACCGAAAGTACCGAAAAAAAATCGAGAAATCAGAGTATATTTAAGTCATTCTAGGTATAATTTCTTCCGACAAGAATGTAGTTAGACTCACGTTTGAGAATCCAAACGAGATCAATCGAGTCGCGTCGCCTACGTAGTAATCTAAGTCTCTCTATATAAAATATAAATGTTTTTCAAAGCTAATAACTGTGCTCTTTATGTCGTTTTTGTTTCAAGGTTTTCGTCCATTCGTCGAATTTCTAGCTGCTCCGTTCTGGGGCAGTCTGGCGGATCGCTGGCAAAAAGGAAAGATACTGCTGCTCGCCTCTATAGCCTCCTGGATAATATTTACCGTCCCTCTGGGTTCTATACAACCTCCCGCCGTGTCTTGCATGGACAAAGTAAACTCTTCGGACACCCTTACCATTCCCGAAGTGAGTCAACGGCTAATCAACAAAAGATCGATAGAGTTAGAGAAAGTACCTGAATTTGTACATCATACCGATGATCCTATAGAATTAGTAACGTAAGTATTATACAGTTCCCGCAACTAAAGATAAACCCACACGGGGTTTCGCAGACCCAAGAGCGTGAGCTTAGATATAGCTACCTATTTATTCTCACACTCTAAAATAATTATTCGAATTATTTCACGCGACACTGTTATTGTGTCCAAGTGTTCATTATCTGTCCAAGTGTTCTTTGGTAAAACACTGAATTTTTTTATGAACTACAAATAATCGTAAGAAAAATTGATTTTTTCTATATTTAATCTTAAGCGGCACTAGAATGTTTTTTCACTTAAGTAATGACTTAAAAAAAATAATATTTTCTTAAAAAAATCTAAGCCAATAATATGTTATTTGCTTAGATGTCTCATTTACACTTGGTTATTATGTAATGTAAGATAATAAAAGCCATGGTCCAATAAGTTTATAATCAAAATAGAATTTAATATTTAAGTAAAGTTATTTTCATTAGCTTTAATCAGATTATATTTTTCTATAATTCTTTTTTCACTTAACATAATCATCATTTTAACTTTTTTATTTGACAAATATTTCTACCATAATTTTTACTACTATTGGGTACACTGGCTTAATATTTGGATACATCCCACTTCTGATGTTAACTTTAGATTAATTTAGACCCTAAATGAAAAATTAACCCCAGATAAACCACTTTTATTATTAATAAATAGATGCCTTTATTGTCAAAAAATTTTACAATTTGTAGACACAGATATCATATAGCTTGTGCTATTGATGAAAATTTTACGTACGCAATTTAACTTATTAGATAATATTTTTTTTAATAACTAAATCTGCTACACCTTCAACAACTTTCAAACGAGTCGAGTAAATGAAAAATCATATTTAGGGAATGCAATCCCGCAAATGCGGGATCCCGCTGAGATTCCGCGGGATCAAAGTTGCGGGATTTACCGTGCGGGATCTGCGGGATTGACACATTACTACTGGGTAACCGAATACTTAAAGCCCCTTACGCCTTGGCCATTAAAAATAAGTTAAACAAACACGTTAGTTTTTAGATTTCTTTCTGGCGTATGTGCGTAAGCAGCGTAAGTGAAGAAAAGTGTTTAACTTTACTTGTGGACAATTTCGTCAAATAAACTGCCGGACATAATTATCGGGACAAGCAAAATTTTAAGGTAAATTTAAAGTTGAATATCTCTTGAACCAAAAAAGATTTTGGGATGTGGTTGGGACCAGGTTTTAAATGCATCTATTGTGACTAAGATGCTATGTGGTTTTCGAAAATATATTTAGCGAATAATCGTATACAGGGTGTTTTACAAGAGTGTGAAAATTTAGTCAAGAATCTTTTTTTCCGCAAATTTACAATTCTTAAAAAATCGAGATTTTTACCAAGTACGACAGTACGACTAATCTGTATTGAAATTAGAAAAAACAATTTGGTCGTTTTTTAATTTTTTATTTTGTTTTCAGGAAAATACGACGTTTTTTCGAAAAATATGCATTTTTAGTCATACTTTGTACATTCTGCATATACCAAAAAATTATTGATATAGAGTGTATCTAAAAGCAGATAACTAACACAAGTTAAAAAAAAACATCAGAATAATATTTTTATTTATAAAATAAGTAGATAAATTATAATAAATAAGTTTATTTAATATTAAATATATTCTTTGAACACCTTGTATACATCAGTCCAAATTTCTGTACAGCTAGTATAAGATACACGCTATATCAACATATTGTGGGCCTATGCAATGCCTTTTGTACCATTTAGGACCAAATGTATGACTATAAATGCATATTTTTCGAAAAAACCTCGTATTTTCCTTAAAACAAAAAATTTTTAAAAACCCACTAAATTGTTTTTTTTCCAATTTCAATACAGATTAGTCGTACATAGTTAAAATTTCGATTAATTGCATAAAACCATTATATTAGCAAGTTTAATAGGTTAAGTACAAAGAGGAGCATTTATTGTTTACAATCCCGCAATTTTGCGGATCCTGCGGAATTGATTGCTTTAATCCCGCGGGTTTGCGGGGTTGAGATTTTGGTGCGGGATTGCATTCCCTAATCATATTAGACCCTTTTTCTAGATCGTTCAATTTCCTACAAGAACCTGTATTGATGTTTATATTATGCTAATTTGTTAGAACACAATACAATTTAAAAAAAATAAAACAATTTCCTCCTGTTATTTAAATGGGAAATAGAAAATCAAAGAGATCATAAAAAAAAGAGCTCAAAATTTACCAGCATTTTTTCATCATCGTGAACGATATTTTCACGGTAACTAAAAAGAAAAAAAATATATTTTTTTTGGTGCACCGTACACATCATACTTCAACAAGATTGGAGTAACGGAACGACGCGCAACGGATGCATATAAACTCCCTTGTAGATTGCATACATTTATGTATGTATATGTTACTGTGAAATTTCGAAATAAGTGCATGTCAACGTTCACCGGCCAATGTCCGCAAACAACAAGCGTGTTGGTGAAAGACCGAGATTTATTAATTTCGTCATAAATTCGGACTTATTCGGACTTTTACTTTTTTGAATTGAAAACTATCGGTTATAACTACAAGCAGATATTCAGAAAACATCACAATTCGTTTTCGATGCTCGCGCACAAGAAAAATAAAGAATCACAAAAACAGGTTGAAACCAAAACAATCAAAAGTGAGTGGCACGACTAAGTTAGCATTCGGTTTCAACTTTTTTTCCTTGATTTTAAAATTTCGACGGTATTGAGGTATAATTATATTTTATTCCAGATACAGTCGTAAAATTAGAGCGGTTCGTCCATATCTGTATGCCGGACAATCCCCAGTAAACGTGAACTTCGCTTCCAACTACAAACAGAAAGAGCACGAATCATGGGTCAAGCCTATCATATCTTCAATCGTTTACCGCACTCAAGATATCCAAAAAGCTTTTTTCCTATTGATGTTGCTGGTTGTAATCGGTGAATTCTTTGCTGCTCCGGCGATCACGCTTGCTGATTCGGCAGTGCTTACTTTGTTGGGCGAAAATGCTGACACGTATGGACAGCAACGGATGTTTGGATCGCTAGGATGGGCTGTAGCTATGTTTTTCGTGGGTAAGTTATTTAAATAAGAATATAAAAGTCGTTTTAAAGTCATATTAAATTTATTTTGAGGAGCAAATAGTTTTACTAATTCAGGCATAAACTGTACTATAATTATTGTATATCATCGATATATCTATATCATCGATCGATAAGTTTTGAATGGCAGCCTAATAAATCAGACATTCTTACATTTGCAATATAAATTAAATCTAATCGGTCGTAAAACTGCAAGATAAACAGAAGGTTCGTTACTCACTTTTTGTTTATTTTGTAGTACGCCAAGGTTAAAGTTGCACGAATTATAACTGCTGGTACCTTCCAGCCTCCTGTCAGCTGAGAAATTTCCTCGGTCGGTTTATTTTATTTGTTTATGGTTGGAGACCTCAATCCAACCATAAACAAATAAAATTAAAACGTCTTAATTAATAATATACTGATTATTATTAAAACTTTTTAATACCCAACCTTTTATCCAGAAGTAAACAAATTAGTTTTATTGTGCGATTAAAGTGCCGAGCCTGCTTCTTCCAGCTAATTTCGAATCGTACTTGAGCTTCTCCAACGGCCTTGTCTGGATCAACAACATCGGTTGGTGACGAGTCCGCCACAAAATGCTGAGAAACCAACATTCCGGAATTTGTTACATGATGAAACACGTTTAGTATGTGACCAGTATCACATATCTTAATGTTGCGCAATACTATGTTAAAGTTCAAAAACTTTACTTTTCACTTCTATTGGGGCAGACTGTTTTAATATTTGGATACATCCCACTTCTGATGTTAACTTTAGATTCTTTTAGACCCTAAATGAAATAATTAACCCCGGATAAACCACTTTTATTATAACATCGTACAGCTTGTGCTATTTTAATATTGACGGGTACTCTGGTACTCTCGTACTGGTGTGTAGTCGGTGCGGTCGCGATGCCTCTCCCGTCGGTGGTAATCTAGAGCATCCTTGCGCATGCTGATCTCGCTCGGCTATACTGCTGTCATGTTGTCATTTTTGTCATATGTTTATGTATCTTTATCAGATACTGCAAAAAATGAGAGGCGGCTTTCTTCAGACAATTGCAGCTGACAATTTTCTAAGAAAGCCGTCATGATAGTCATGACGGAGTGATGAAGTCATGATAGAATAAATATATCTAGTTGATTTATTCTATCATGACGAATAAATGAATACACGAATAGTTTTGATTGTCGAATTACTAATTCGATAATTTTCGACGAATGGTTTATCACATATTGAATGAATTGCAACTATCGAATGTTTCAATATAATATAGTCTAAATAAATACTACTGATTGGTTTTTTTTTCCAGGTATCGCTCTAGATCATTCTACTTCCTTCCCGAACCATCCCTGCAATCCAAACAAAAAAGAAAGGAACTACACCATTTGCTTCGCTACGTTCTCGGTTTTGATGGGGGCCGCTCTCATCACAGCTACACAAATCAATTTCAAGTACGAGGAACCCGTGTCTCAGCCTGCCGAGGATAGACGACAAGAACCTTTATCGAAAGAGGACCAAATGCAAGCCCAGCTAGCCGAACAACTGAATTTGCCTTCGTTGGCCGATACGAGGGCGTCGAATTTTATACCACCTGTCAAAGAACAAAAGGTAAATTATAGTTTAAAAATCATATACATTAAAACGCTTGCGTTGATTGCGTCATATTTCTCTCATGAATAATTTTAATGTAAAAAAATCATGATTCATGAAATGTTTTTGCAATTTTTGAAGATGTGAGACACGTTTTTTTGAAAAGTCGAAAGTTGTATGTCTATACCGCGAAGATCTCCGAAACAGTAAAATACCTTCAAAAAGATGTTCATTATTTTAATTCCCCATCTAACAAAAAAATAAAATACAGGGTCTACCATTAAAAAAAAACGAACATATTTTAGATTTTAGAAAGTTTGGCATGGAATTTTGAACAGTCTGTATGATTTAAGTACGATATTTATAATAAAGTAATTACAGACCAACTATAGTAAGTATATAGCATAGTTTTCATTCGAGGAAACATCTTATAATAATTGTAATGATTTAAAAAGATACTGAAAAAATATATTTTTTTCATTTATTTATATCTCTGAAAATATAAAAACAAATTTAATAATATATTCAAATCAGAAAAGAAGCCAAAAGTGCATAATATACAAGATGTTCTTTTAATAAACGAATTCCAATCTACTGAGACTTTTTTGAGCGACCCTGTAGAAGTTAAAATATTTTTTTCTGAAATAGGGGCCCTATTACATACTTTAGATATACAGGGTGTTTCAAAACAAATGCGAAAAACTTCAGGGGGTGATTCCTTGTTCAAAATAAAGGGTAGTTTGCTTTATAAACGTTGGGTCAAAAGTCAACCATTAGGGAGATATCGCGGTACAAAGATGGCGGAAAAATAATGTTTTTACTTTTTATCTTGAAAACGAAAAGAGATAGACTAATGAAATTTTACGGAAGCATTACTGTTATGAAAACACACTTTCTGGTAATTTTTTCACTTTTTTTAAATGAGTGGAAGGGGTTGAAATAAACTACCCCTATCATTCTTGTTAATGAAATTTAAAGAAAAATCTTATCAAACACATGCAAAAAAAATTAATTTTGATAGTTTAGTTTATTTAGAAACTTTTTTATCTCTTGTGTTTTTTTGATAAAACTCACCGATTTGAAATTAAAAAATAAAATGTAAAGCATTACATGTCAGGACAAAAAACATTTTTAGATAAAGAATCTAGTGGGCAGCTGTAATTTTTTTAGGAAAAAATCTAGTCGGCCGCTGTCACTTTTTAGGATATTTCTAATATTGTTTTATTTGACATTACATTGTTTGAAAAATTTATTATTTGATATTATTAATTTATTTTGGCACAAATGACTCTGGAGTATGTACTTTCAGTAAAGTTTTGAGTCTAGCCCTAATGAGCCACCCTTGTTCCGTTTGAAAAAATTGAGATATAATTAAAAATACGATTTGGGCATCTTTTAACCAGCCAGGACAAGACACGTAAAACATTAGACTATCAAATCTATTTTTCCAAGACTTCTTGATTAAACATTAGTTTTTTAGTGTTTTTAACACAGCCTAGATTGAAATCCACTCTAGATTGAAATTTACAATATGATTTTTTTTAGCTAAAATGTCAAAAGTTGACTTATGTCATTCCATTCAGAGTGTCATTTTCAATCTAATAAAGTAGAAATATACCGAGGGTGCTATTTAAAAATCGAAAGTGGTAGTCATCCACTGAAACACGAAGTAACCAAAAACAATTGAATACGTCAATCAATCCTAATTTGTGTCCTATACTAACATACCAAATCTCATTTTTTTATCTGATAAAATAACAAAGTTATAGGGCCCAAAGTTTTATAGACACTTTCGCGACGCACCTAGACAAAAAAATAATTGTTTATTATTTTAGGTTATTTAGTTACGATTATTTCACGTATTCTTAGATTCTAGAGACAAGTTTCTAAATTTACTGTGTTAATTGTTGCAATGGTTGATTAGACAAAACGTTTAGAAGTACAGTGCGGTTGAAAAAAAATACTACAAGGATTCCGAATTTAATAACTTTTTACATAAAAACAATTATTTTCTATAAAGTCTATTTTACTAAAAATTTGCGGTTAAGTAACATTTTTTAATCTATCTTTTATCTCTTTCAGACGAAAATCTTCGCCCAAACGACAAGAGAAATACCAGAATGGGTCACCGTACTCGCCCAGTTCAAGAACCTAAAATGCGCTTCGTTCCTGTTCGTCGCCTGGTTCATGGGCTTCGGGATCGGTCTCATCTTCACCTTCCTGTTCTGGCACTTGCAGGACTACGGTGGCACCCCCACGCTGTTCGGCGTCGCTTCTGTGATAAACCACATATCGGAAATATTCGCCTACTTCTTTAGTTTTAGGTTAATCAGACAAGTGGGGCACGTGAAGGTGCTGTGCCTGGGATTGATTGGGAATACGCTGAGGTTTTTGTACATATCGTACCTTACTAATCCGTGGTGGGTTCTGCCGTTCGAGTTTATGCAGGTAAGTGTTTTAAAATTCATCCGTGAAAACAGTTGAATATTAAAAAAATCGTCTAGAATGGCGGATGTAAAAGCAGTTTTATAAGACAAATATGTTTTACCTTTAATACATTACGAAATATCCACTGCCTGGCCCACCATCTACGATATTTTTTGTCGTTTTTGATACAGTTCGGAACTCATATACTAGTTGTTAATACGGCGCTGGCAACTCTTACATTTGGGTTAGTATTTACATGTGGGGAAATGAATCGCTAGGGATCTTATTAAGTCGGAGTAAGAAAAATGCAACGGTGTGCTGTTGCGGCGTTGCCACATTTTTCAGCGATATAAGTACGCCTTTTCCTGTCTAATGGAGTAAAATCAAGGTCGATAGGCGCTTATTTTTAAGGTCTTTTTCGGAAAGATAATTACATAAAAGCATTAAATATGTTTCTGGGCATCTGAAATTGAGTTATAACGTTAGGATGACCATTTTCTTAATGAGAAAACGTTAGTAATCGCGGTAATTTTTACTGAAAAACTACTTTAGATATTGAAATTTTTTCGGAAAGTTCGGATCGTTGACAAGATGTTTAAATGAAAATAAAATCGACAGGTTTGTTTCTTTTCCGTTCAAGAAATTTAAAAAACGCGTCCATGTACATTTAGTGCATAGCAATTTCAGCAATCGTGTAAGTTTTTATACAGGGTGGTCCATCGAAAACGTTCCGCAAGGCATAACGGCCAGGATATTTTTTTTTCAAAAAATCCAAAAACACGTCAATTTGGTTTGTGAGGGGGACAACTTTTGCCCCAAAAATGATTGCAAAATCTTCAACCCTCTAAGCGGGGGTGTCATCCCTCAACTTTTTTCAAATGGGAAGGGGGGTCAAGTGGTACCGCAATAAAAACGACTTTTTATTCTCTATACTTTCCCGCTTCGTTTTAGAAAATCGGTCGAGTCATTGAGAAAATATAAAGGATTGAAATTTGAAAAGTTTATTTAAACATTTATCAGAGTAAATGATAAGGATATATTCCTTCGACCAATTTGCTGTTTTTTCTTATTATTTCTAGATGTTTACGCATTTTTTCACTTGCCACAAGGTTGAACGATCAGGCGCGGCAGTTGCTAGATAGCTGTTCTGTGACTTGTGCGTAGAAGTTCTTCTCAATATCGTTAAACTGACCTAAAATAGAATTTCCAAAAATACCAGCCGACACGTTCAACTTCTGAGGGTTTTGTGTGTGCACCTCGTGAAAAAACCCTCAGCCCAGTACCAACAGTTATGCCGATTAACTACACGAAATTATTATCATTCGCCACTCGTCACTCACAGTTTCACAAAATTGCAAGCGACGATCAAAATCGACTTCGTTGAGTTCTTGTACCAACTGAATTTTGTACGGGTGGAACTTGGTGGTGTTTTTTTTAATATGCTTTGGACACTGGTACGATTCACGCCGGCTAATTTTGCATTGGCTAATTTTCTTGTACTCAGCGTACTATCCATAGCAACTTGGCCCAATACGAATACCTCCATAGCTTCATTTTTTAGTACAGGGTTTTCCCTCTGCCTCTTTTATTCATAACGGAACCAGTTTAGCGAAATTTTGCTAATAACTCGCGAACAATTTTGCCATAAAGGTGTTTTTTCAGGATGGCATGCATTGAATATCTGCGGAACCCGATTGCTACATTCATTATTTCTAAAATATAGATTATTTCCACTTTTTCTGCAAGTGAGTACACCATAATTGTTAAAAAGTTTAACGATATTGAGAAGAACTTCAACGCACAAGTCACAGAACAGCTATCTAGCAACTGCTGCACCTGATCGTTCAACCTTGTGGCAAGTGAAAAAATGCGTAAACATCTAGAAACAATAAGAAAAAACAGCAAATTGGTCGAAGGAATGTATCCTTATCATTTACTCTGATAAATGTTTAAATAAACTTTTCAAATTTCAATCCTTCATATTTTCTCAATGACTCGACCGATTTTCAAAAACAAAGCGGGAAAGTATAGAGAATAAAAATCTCTTTTCATTGCGGTACCACTTGACCCCCCTTCCCATTTGAAAAAAGTTGGGGGATGACACCACCGTTTAGAGGGTTGAAGATTGTGCAGACTTTTTTAGTTTGAGTGATAGACGAGAACTCCCGGCTTTAATCACCGTTTTATTCATCGTAAGTAGTTCTGTGATCCAGTCTTTAGTTCGCCAATAATTGTAACCATCGCGGATAAACAAATTGATTGACTATATCTTAAGTAATGTCTTTGTATATTATTGAATTTTTAGTCTCTACGTTTCAGATAAAGATAAATATCATAATATAATACTAATATTTATTTGTAAAAATGCTGTAACAAACATGTATTCTACAATAATGTTTTAGATTTTTCCAACGGCATATAATTTTTTTGAAAACAAATATTCACACAGGTTGTCTGATGCAAGACACTGTGTTACTAGAAAGAAAATTATACCAACAGAGAGTGTGCTTAAAGATTACTAGCTTTAAATCGCAATTCAGACTTTCATTAAAATTATAAAAGAATTTATAAATTATATACTGATTTATCATACATTATTACTGTTTATAGGGTATAACGCATGCTGCAGTATGGGCTGCTTGCTGTTCATACATTGCTCATAATACTCCTCCCGAACTTAGATCATCTGCTCAAGGTGTATTGCAAGGAATTCATCATGGGCTAGGTAAAGTCATATTTCTTAAGTTATGCGGTAGATTTGGGTCCTTATGTTATAGATGAAATGGAATAAACAATATTTATTTGTCCTAAACCTGCGAATGCCATTTCATTTCTTAATTTTTTAGACAATTTTTTCTTAGATCTTTGGACAATAATGGAAGAATTTGACGTAATTTAAATATCATTTTAAAAATTGAAATATAACAATAATGATATAAATAAGCATACGTTTTAATTAAAAAAAAATAAATGCTTTTTTAGGACGAGGATGTGGAGCTGTGATTGGTGGAATGTTTGTAAACAGTTTTGGGTCTACAGCTACGTTCCGTGGATATGGTTTAATATGCCTCGTAATCCTGGGTGCATTTATATTCATCAATTTCTATAGAGTAGACCAAGGTTTTGTGTCAGATCTACCACAAACCGAGGACCCTAGAGATGTAAGTTAATATGTGCTTTTTTTCTAAAACAAAGTGTTTTGAAAGAGAAAAAAATATTTTATATTTTTTTACAAATTTTTATTTCTGATGTATTTCTACTAAAGGTCGTTTGATATATGGTCGGCTTTATAACGAAAAGGCGTATCTCGATTTTTGCTACTTTTCAAAAGAGCAATTTAAAGAAAATCACTTACTTTATTTGGCCAATAAATATAAAGTCTTTAATTTTTTAATAATGTTTTTGTATTAACACTTAAACGGAGACCTTGAGGAACGTTCTAAAGATAAATTGAGCGTAAATTGTAATAAATAATTTATTTTTAGTTGTTTAGTAGAGATAGGCCTTTTTATTTTAATATAATAAAATTATTACCGACCGAATAGTATACACACACTTATTCAAAATAAATTTAAAAATAATGATAAAGAATTCTTAATAAGGAACATAATAATAAAATTTTCACTTTACGAGTAGATGCATACAAAAAAGAACTAGAAATCACCAAAAAATCAGAAACAAATATTTTTAAATACTTTTATTAGTGTTTAAAAATCGTGTTCGTTAAATCAACTGAAAACACTATTCTAGAAGCAAACACAATAATAAATGAAAATACTCTCATCTAGTTTATTTTAATAATACTATTTTTATACGAAAATATTTTTTTTAAGTACAAATATATTTTTAGTAATTATTTAGTTAATTGAGGCAATGATTTATAATAAAACATCTTCTGGTGATTTAATGACAGGTTTATCACTAGTGCAAAGGGGTTCTGGATCTTGATATTTTTATAATATTATAGGTTTGGACCCTGAGTTTAGTTTAGATTGTGACGTTGAAAAAATTAATTATCGTTTCAACCCTAAAACGTTCTATAAACATTCACAAATTACCGGTAACAGTTGGTTAGGCTTAAATAATTCGCCTGTCTATATTGCATGAGCAATACAACAGATCTAGTAAAATTGCCCGAAAACAATTAACCGAAATAGAATTAACCGAAAACAACTGATCGAAAAAAAATTAACCAATAATATATTTGCCCGAAAAGAAAAATCATAGAATTTTAATTGACAGAAATAAAAATTTCAAAATGTCGATTTTTGGTCAAAGATTGTTCTAATACAGGGTCCTTAAATGTCCATTTAATAAAAACCAAACTAAACAAACATATGTTTCTTCACCCGCGCCTTTTTTGATACAAATATCTGTGGAGTAACAGTTTCTGTTTTCCCTGTTCACTGATTAGAAATTCGACTTCCTTCCTTTTTTACTGCAAAAAATCAGAGACTTATTTCTTTCAAGTGTGTTGAATTAGCCACACTGTAAAAGAGAACTGCTGCCATGATAGAACTTTTATTTTGTCCCAAGCAACCATCAGAAAATAATAGGCAGACTGTGGCATTTTCTCTCGCGCGCATTTTCATAACTTAAAACAAAGGACCTATTTGAAATTCCATATTTCTTGTAGTATAACAATTAGTATAATAATTGATATAACAAAGAGCCCTATCTCAACATACAGTACGTCTGTCCGTTCTGTAGCTACGAGGTATCCGTGAGAGTGGAAACGATATTCTCTCCATGCTTTTCGTAAAAAATTAGACGACGCGTCCCATCAATAAAAATTCGACAAATTTGCAAGTAGCCAATAAAATGAGTGGGCGGAGTGATTTGTGGTGACGTACTCGTCAAGTCGACGTATAAAAATATATATATATATATATATATATATATATATATATATATATATATATATATATATATATAGCCTCCTTATTTTGGTATCTCTCCACGCGAAAAATCTATATATATATATATATATATATATATATATATATATATATATATATATATATATATATATATATATATATATATATATATATATATATATATATATATATATATATATATATATATATATATATATATATATATATAATATATATATATATATATATATATATATATATATATATATATATATATATATATATATATATATATATATATATATATATATATATATATATATATATATATATATATATATATATATATATATATATATATATATATATATATATATATATATATATATATATATATATATATATATATATATATATATATATATATATATATTATATATATATATATATATATATATATATATATATATATATAATGTGGGAGTTCAGTGACGGCCTCGACACAAACTTAATTATGAGCACCGTATAACTCTGGGAGTTCAGTGACGGCCTCGACACACAAACTTAATTATGAGCACCGTATAACTCTGGGAGTTCAGTGACGGCCTCTAAACACAAACTTAATTATGAGCACCGTATAACTCTGGGAGTTCAGTGACGGCCTCGACACACAAACTTAATTATGAGCACCGTATAACTCTGGGAGTTCAGTGACGGCCTCTAAACACAAACTTAATTATGAGCACCGTACAACTCTGGGAGTTCAGTGACGGCCTCGACACACAAACTTAATTATGAGCACCGTATAACTCTGGGAGTTCAGTGACGGCCTCGACACAAACTTAATTATGAGCACCGTATAACTCTGGGAGTTCAGGGACGGTCTCGAAACACAAACTTGGGCACCGTATAACTGCAAGTTCAGGGACGGTCTCCAAACACAAACTAAATACTTGAGCACCGTATAACTGCAAGTTTAGGGATGGTGTTGCGTGTCACTTCTAAATTAAATCTAACACGGGAAAAAAAAACAGACTCACTATCGTCTAATTCCAACAATTGTTGAAAGTCATCTGGAGCCCATGCTATGGGCCACCAGCGTAACTACCGGAACACTTAAGACTTTTTTTTGTGTCCCAATCTTTTGAAGGAGGTTATTAGTTATCAAAGATTTAATGAGATATAGCTCAACAAATTCGCAACTGAATTTTTGGGCTCGTAGTCCCCTACTCAACAGTACATCACTTTACAACTAACTTTGAACGTTTCATTACTTCTGCGTTTGAGGTTAAAAATTTAGGGAGTTTAGCCGTCTTGGTCAAAGACCAACCTAAACGGAGAACAGCCAGTCGTCTTATGCTTGGTGATGTTAAATACAAGTTCAATTTTCCAAATTTTGTTCGGCCAATCTGCAGCTGATTTAGATTCAACGCGTAATAAATTACTAATAGTTCGCATAAATGGTTCGCTTGGCCATTGAAGCGGTGAGTGTCTGGATGTCTCAACTATGCCATATTGCTTAACAATTTCTTTGAAAATCTTGGCGGTGACAAGCGTTATTTTACAGAGAAACTGACTTTAAACAACTCTACAGGTTGTAAAGCGTTACTTTACAGAGAAAATTGCTTTCAACAACTCCACAGGTTGCAAAACGTTACTTTACGGAGAAACACTGCTGGATCATCATCAAATTTCGCTAATGGCTATACATTTTTAGTTTAAATTTTCCTAATGGCTATATCCGCAGAGAAAATTACAAATACTAATAATTTAATTAATCTTTTTTTTACAAAATCAGCTTGCTTTCTACTACGTTCATAGTTTTCGATTTTTTTTACAAATTTTTCGAAACGTCAAGTAATACTCGTAGATTCAGTCAGCGTTTGAATATCTCGACCAGCGTCATTTATTCTTGTTAACAGATAAATCGAAGACAAACCTTGTAAACAAACAAAGTAAATTTAAAATACTACTAACGCTTCTTTCAATTTGACCCATTGCCTCGAAAAATACTTTTTTCATCAAACGGTTAATATCAAATTGCATTATCACAGTTTCAAGTAATTATCGTTGAAATTAATACCTCTATAACATGTAGTTTTTCTAAACTTTCTGTGATATATTTTTACTGAAACCGTCGATTAAAAGCAATAAAAATTCGAAACTAAAATGTCGATACTTAAAAGGGTACACTGTATTTTTTTGTAACAATGCATTTTAAGCATTGATCTTGAACTTCTTAACAAATTGATTGAACTTCTTAAGAAATTGATCCACGAGTAAAAAATAAAAATAATGGTTTAGTTCACAATTTTTTTTTTCTTTCAGTTGTAACATTACATTGCTTGTCGTAAAACAATCGCCACATTTTTTTTTAAGAATATTATTTTGACAAAAATGATCGTTAGCTAATTTGTCCTAAATTTATTTTCATTTATCTTAAGTTTCGGTGACATATTTCTGGTTTTTTTTTCAACAGTTACCAGGTAGGCCATTGTTGACAAACATTTTCAATTCGATTTCAGCTGAATAGTCGGCACCATAGAATAATTAACTGAACGGCACCGTTGAAAAATAACACCATTTCGATATTCAATACTAAAATTATTAACTAATCAATATTCATGTCTCAACTCTCAGAATAAGATCGTATTTTTGTTTGTGACGATTTTAATGGATTATAGTCAAATATAAGCTTGAAATCGATACACGAAAGAAAAGTGTACAAAAATATTTGACTTCATAAAATACTGACAAAGCACCAAATATTAAAAGCAGTCGCCAGGGTCTTGTGACTGATACTTAGACGTGCGTTGAGAAAAATATGGAACAACATTTAACTGATAAGTTCCTTAGCACTGAAATCCAATAGCTTTGGAATCGACAGAACTGTCTTCGCTTTGTCTAAAAAAAATGCCTTAACACCAGCCTTTCTTGGCGTTTTTCTTCAATCTTTACTACAAATAAGTTTTATTATAAAACTTTTAATTAGTTTTGTAATACAATCGATACCTGTAAAATACCTGTAATACAATCTATACCGATAAAATAACTGGGATATATTTTTTTTGAAGATAATATGCCAATCGAATGAACTGTTTTACTTATACTTGTATTCACACTATTCACTAACATTTTGACCTTATTGTCCAAAAAAATACATTTTTTTTATGTGATAAAAATTCCCTTACAAGGAAATCTCGGCTTAAATCTTGGAATAAAACTCGGCTTATTTTTTTTTTAAATCAACTTTAATCTATTTTTCCATTCTATGTAGTTAGAAATTATTCATGATCATGAAGCAGTTTTAACTGAATTTTCGATGAAGTCCAAAATCAAGAATCAAGAAATTATTCAATAATAATTTAACAAAGTAGTTTTTAAAACATAACTTCTTTAAGGTTTAATACTTAACTATTGAAATATGTCAAGTAGCTTCAGAGGCTTTCATCACCTGCCTGATAATTTTTTTTTAATCGAATAAGTAAAGTTTTATTTATTTTTTATAGTTAAAACAACGCGAAAGAGAAATGTTGTATTTGCCGTTATTTAAAATAAATCCAATTTATGCTATTCGACATTTTAAAAATTCTGCACATTAATTATTTTAGCGGAACACTTAAATCGGTATGCTCTTAAATCTATAAAAAAAATCTTAATATTTTTTTTCTGTTTTAATTTAATAATGACATGTTTATAGTTTTGTTAGAAACTGTTACATTTATGGATGATCGTAAGTTTGGTTTGAATATGGCATATAAAACTACAGAACTCTACTAAAACGACGGAGCTATAAATCTAAAATTCTGTTCTAAAACCTATATCATTACTCCAGCTTTAAAACTATTAATGGGCGAACGTGATAAAGCTCTTTTGAACTATAAGAAAAACAACACACCAGAGAACTTGAAAAATTACAGAAATCTTAGAAACCTCACTCTGAGGTCAGTTCGTAGGGAAAAGTCTGGTTACTTGGAATATTTAGAGCGCCGAGGGGATGCACGGATCCTTTGGAAGGGTCTAAGAGATATGGGCGTTTCCTCTGGGTCAAGCAATTTTAATGATCTTTCTACTTCATTGCATAGTCCAGAAGATGTGAACACATATTTCTTGAGCGTATTTAACAAAACTAATACTTGTATTAATAAAAACCACATTCTATAGGAACAATAAGTACCGAGTGGGATTAAACTTTGGTTTCTCCATGGAGTCTCCTGAAGCAATTCTTAGGTATATATACAAAATAAAATCTAATGCTGCAGGTTGTGATGATCTCACTCTACACATGTTGAAACTCAGTTTGCCTGCGACCTTGTATCCTCTTACTCATATTATTAATTGTTGCCTGGAAACAGGGTATTTCCCCAAATGCTGGAAGGAGTCTATTGTTTGCCCAATACCGAAAGTGAAATGCCCTGGTAGTGTGTTACCGATCTGCGGCCCATAAGTTTGTTGCCTGTCATGTCCAAGGTACTGGAGAGAGCAGTGTATGCTCAGATTAACAACTTTCTTTTAAGAAATAAACTTTATCCAGTACATCAATCAGGATTTCGTGAAATGCATAGTACAACTACAGCCATGTTGAACTTGACAGATAACATTTTCAGGGCTCTTGATAGGGGTATGGCTGTTCTGTCCGTTTCTTTGGATTACTCCAAGGCGTTCGACGTATTGGACCATGATCTTCTGTGTGCTAAGTTGCATTATTTGGGTTTTGACGAGCTGTCTCAAACTTTCCTTTGAGAGTATCTTGCTGATAGAACGCAGAGAGTAAGGTTAAATGGTGGTTTGTCATCCGCCGGCAGAATAATATCGGTGTCCCACAGGGCTCCATTCTAGGACCACTACTATTTCTGATATATACCTTCGACATTTTTGATAGTGTCTCTAATTCCCACGTACAATCATACGCCGATGACACGCAGCTTCTCCATTATTTTGATCCAGTAAATTCTGATACGGCTTCTCTTCTATTGAACCTAGATTTGGAGTCTATTTTAAAATATTCTACTGAACACAATTTGAAAATAAATGCCAATAAAACTGAAGTTCTTTTGTTTTGTTCAGAGAAGAAAAGAGCAACTTTACAGCGAAGCATAACACTAAGATTAGCTAATGAAAATCTACGCTACTCAGCTTCCGCTAAGAACTTGGGACTATATATTGACACGCATCTTAGGTTTAAAGAACATATAAAGAAACTTTTGCAAACAACTTACACGAGAGTCAAAATATTATATTCCAATAGATACATTTTAAACTTTAAGATGCGAAAAAAACTGTGTGAATCCCTGGTACTGTCTGTTTTCAACTATGCTAATATTGTTTTTATCCATGTTTGGATCTGGTTTCTAAAACAGATTACAGTATGTACAAAACGTTTGCTGTCGTTTCATTTTTGGTCTGAGGAAGTACGATCATATCTCTGCTCGTATTAATGAATTAAAGTGGCTTAAGATTTCAAACACTGTCAGGCTGCATTTCGTCATGTTTCTGTTTAAAGTTCGTAGCACATCCACCCCTATATATCTGAGTGAAAACTTATTCCTCGTAATGTCATGCATAATTGTAATATAAGACACCATAATCAACTGACCATGCCTCAACATAGATCCGCCCTTTTTCAAAGAAGTTTTACCTATATGGCCGTCACTAGTTACAATTCCCTTGATCATGATTTTAAACAATGTAATTTTGGCCAATTGCGAAAAAAATATAAAATGTTTCTTTTATCTTCACAGGAATGATAATGGTTTTGTATTTTTTGTTTATTTTTTAAAATTATTTATTATGCCATGTGTATAAGAATTAACTGTGTATATTTCTTAATTTGTTAGTTTATAGAACATATTTTTTTGTCTTTTTTGTCTTTTAAACGTATTTTTCAACAAATATCTTCTGGCAGCTATGGGTGGTTAAATGTAAGAATAACTTTTTTTGTTAAATTTCGCCACCCTTGTTGCATGATGTGTAATAATATATGTAATGTTACACATCTTTTTTTTCTTCAATAAAGACGATTATTATTATTATTATTATTATTATTATCTTGGTTAAAAGAAATTTATTTTTCGCAAATTTCACAGTGTTCATACACTACGTATTTTGATTTTAAATATAACTAAACCTTTTCTCAATATTTTCTGACAATAAACGACATTCCTCTTAGTATTTTTACCTTAATAAGTTCAATTAAGTCAGCATCTGACGAATTAGCACGGATCAATTTTAATTTCTCAAGTTTTATTCGTGCGTACCTACTCAACGTAACTATCAACATGGCAACTTTAAAATCGATCATAAGCTTACCCAGATTTATTTTTTGTTTTGGAAAAGCAACTGAAAAATCTGTATTAAAATTTTCCCATGTTTCGTGAGCGGGTTTCCAAACCATCGGTAGCAGATTTAAGTAAAAAGGGGCAATTCTACTTACGGTTTCCCGATCAGACCAACCAAATACAGTTTTTTACCAATCTATTTTTACAAACCAGCAAACCACTCGTATAGGCATAGTTTCGAATGCCGTTGAAGATCAGCGCAGATTCGCTAGCAGCATACTCGGCCATTATTAATTTAATTATCACAAAGTCACATAAAATCCAAAGACACTCGAAAAGCACCCGGGTCTATTACCCCACACCTGATGTTAGATTTTTCGCGTGGAGATACCAAAATAAGGAGGCTCCAGTTTCAGGTCTGTAACCTGACTGACCCAGACTCCTTTTCCCACCAAAAATATGCCTTCCTCATCAATACTCGTGAACGTTGCCAGTCGGACCTAATCACTTTTTATAAACAATAACACATCGTATCAATTTCAAACCATGCCGCATTTACCTACTTAAAAATGGTCTCGTGATAAATAAATCTAACAATATTGTTGTTTATTTAAATGTTTTTTGTCCGCATTCCTTTCATAGACACAGATCCAGCAGACGTACTGTACGTCTCTTCGCCATAACGAAGAATTCCAGCATTTGAGATCAGGCAAATTTTTAAATGAATATAAAATGAAAAAGGTATAATATTGAGATGCGCAAATACGCTATGTTAAAATATGACCCATTGGGCATGTTTTAACATAGCGAATTTACGCTATGTTAAAATATGACCCATCCGCATGTGTTTCCTTTAAGATACAACGTTTAAACTGACTAATAACAATGACGCTTTAGTTTATATATGTAACTTTTCTTTGATAGACATTGATGTTCAAAAAAGCCCGGATAAAGATATTTTAGTTTCCTAGAAACTTCTAATACCAGCTCAGCCAGAGGCAGTCTGTATAAGTTCTCGTAGCCCACTTAAATATGTTCTATTATTCAAACTTTGACCCTTTGTATTAAATGGTTATTAAATATTACCATTTTTAATATTAATTATAGGTAGCAGAGGAGACTTCCCATTTAGCTCCACACGGCGTTCCAAGTAACCCAATACCAAGAGCGCTCTCCAGTAACAAACTGCAAGAACTGGGTCAACAAGATGGATATGGAGCAACGTACCAGATGGGACAAGGTGGTACATTGGACATACCTGGAGGAGGTGGGTACAATCCGTTTCAAAGTGGCAACGTTGGGCAGCAGCGGTTTGAAGGAAATGAGGTAAGAAGTAAGTATGTTTTTAACTGTTTTCATTATTACACTAGTTGATACTTGTCTGCTTTGCAATTATCTGACAAATTTGAATTGGAAAAAATCGAAATAAAAATTGAACTTCTACACCCTATATCCCCGAAATGAAGCATTTTAGAACATAACTTTATACGATCTTTTTTATTTATTTTTATCTGCTTAATAATCTTTAAAATTCTGATATACGTTTCCTTTCAAATTATTACCAAGAGCTGAAACGCACTGACGTTCAGGTGTCCAATTGTCCTAACCTAACCATACAGGGTGTCAAAAAATAGTGTTTTTAACTTTGGTGGGTGATTCTACCGATAAAAATAAAACAGAAAGTTTCTATGAACAGATGCCCTAAAATGCTTCCCGAAGAAATTATAGCCCTCGAAAAGTTAAATAAAAATAATACCGTATGATCGAGAAACAACGGCGTCAACGATGGCTATGAAATGAAGATTGCTGTCATTTTATATGTAAATTTATATGAGAAATGTCATTGATCGTCATTTCCCAGCCAACTGGACGCCGTTTTTTCGATCATACGGTATATTGTGTATATTTTTAAGAACATTGGTAAACCATTTTTCTTGAAATATGGTACTGTTACACACATTTTAATGTCATGGCGATAGCGTAAAATTCCGCATCGATTTTAGCATAGATTAATTTATTTAAAAGTTCTATACATTTTATCATTTTACTAATACTAAAATCGATGCATCGTAATCTTATCCGTTCACCTTTTCGAACTAAACGAAGAGCACCTGTTTTACGTAAAAAAGTTCTAGCTTTTTAGATAATTTGATGAAATTATGGTATCTGTAAGGATAAAAGAAGTGCCACCAGTAGTACTCTCTACCCTAATGGCATATGCTCATAGGAACTTTTAGCTTTATCTGTAGAATCAATCACCAAAGTTAGATACACTATTTTTTTGACACCCTGTATATAGCCAGGGACTGTTTGGTCGTGAAGGGTAGTGCGCGTTGTATCATTTGATTTAATGGTGGTCGCAGCGACCATAACTTTATACGAGCTTTTTTACTTATTTTTATCTGTTTTCATCCGCATGATATGCTGCCGGAGTTTTCCAAATACAATTCGGACCACTTTGTATTTTTCATAATCTTTAAAATTATGATACACGTTTCTTTTCAAATTATTTAACTACAATAAGAGCTGAAACACACTGACTACCAGGTCGCAGCGACCAGTCAGCTGTCAGCTAATAATATAGTTTTGTTCCAACGCAGAAATTAGGACCGTTCTAGAACGGTTATTGGTATCGCCGGGATCGAATTTGTGCGCATGTGTCGACTTGGACAGTCCTGTTACGATACCAAAATTAAATGCAGTTGGAACGATTTGGGAATCGATTTTAGAATTCGCCCTGGCCGCTGTGACGTCTTTGACGCTGGAATCCAATTCATAACCTTATTTAACTTCGAAAAAAAAACGGCGTAAGCGATTGCTCTGTCATTTTTGATATGTAAAATTATATGGAGAATGGCATTGATCATCATTTCCAAGCCAACTGGACGCCGTTTTTTCTCGATCGTAAGGTATTTACATGCTTACCTATACACTATAAGACAATTATTAATAAATTGGGGGGAGATTTATTTATATTTGTACGTTTGAATCATTCGTTCAAATCATTTTTGCTGATATCCAACAAAGACTCGATATCACTGTCCCCTTCGTCACTCATCATCGTCATAGTTCAAAAATAGAGAAATATTTAAAATAAATGTACGATAAACATCAAATAAAACTTTAAGCTTCAAAACGTCGTCAAAACAACATATAAATAAACTGTTAAAATTAAAAAGAGAAATGGCTAAAGGAACTTAAAGTCCAGAAAAAATCAATAATCTGCTGACACACTCTTAATGCGCAGGTCAGTCCCTATGATTCTTGCTTTCAGGCTGGTATCGAAATTACGCTCGCGGAATCGATTCACTAACTCTTGTTGGAACCCAAAAGTTATCGTTCACTAAACGATTCTCTCGTGGTTGGAACGCTTTTTCTCCACTGCGCAGAAGCGTTACCGTGCCGAGTACGGTTCTTTCCGTCGTTGGAACAAAGCTTATATATAGCCAGCGACCGCTTGGTCATGGACGGTAGTGCGCGTTGTATCATTTGATTTAATGGTATTACTGGTCGCAGCGACCTGGCCGTTGTTTGATCGTAGCAACGGACCCGAATTCTGGAACTTTGACATAAAAACGAATACGCTTTCAAAGCGGCTAGTAAAAGTATTCGATTAGTGGAACGCCAAGCAGTCGATTTTTGAATTCTTTTTGCGAAACGTTTTCTGCATGCGCGTTGAGCACATATTGGCAGCATAGCAATTTCTCAGATATCTAATAGTCAAATGTGGATAAAACAATGAAAAATGTCAATGTTATGTGAATCTCGTAACCTATTTTTGAGTTATATGAACCTATTTTTCTATGGGCATGTTATTATTCTTATTTTGTTCTTATTATACGAGGGAAATGTTAAAGACGCTTCTCAGCATTTTCGATGTTTTGTTTTTTATAGGTGCGAAGTCGTAAATAATTACGACTTTTACTTTCAGTAAAAATAGAAAAAATTGTGATTTTGTGCGTTCTCTTGCTCTTTAGCGAAAACAGCTTCTTCTTCTATAAATTCCTCTTCATTCTTCTCACTCAATAAGTAATTGATAATTATTATCAATTACTTATTGAGGAATTTATAGAAGAAGAACTTGTTTTCGCTAAAGAGCAAGAGGACGCACAAAATCACATTTTTTTCTCTTTTTACCGACAGTTCGACAAGCAAAACGATCCTTTAAGGTAGCCGTTTTCAAATCGCTTAGCGCAATGGGTAAAGACTCTAAGCGCGTCAGATGCGAATACCCAAATCGGTAGTTAAGTACGCGCTAAGCGAAAAATAACGTCATGTACGCCGAGCATCTAAAAGCGCTTAGCGTTTTCTAAGTTACTGAATTCGGGCCCTCTGGTCGTCAGTGCGTTTCAGCCCTAAATCAATTGTCTGTAATATTTTCGTTATCTTTGTAAATATTTTATAACTACACATGTTTTATTTGCGTAAAAATGTTTTAACTGTTGACCAATTTTTATTATAATTTTAGGCCAGAACTACTAAAAGAACTTGGGAACATTGCGGATTTCCTGTTGTCAGCACAACTTTAAACACTCAGCAGCCCCTAACAACAACTAATGTTGCTTACGACTGGTAAGCAGTGAGAAAAACGTAAACCATATAGGATATCCTCAAACGGTTTATTTAGTTTTATAAGCGCTATTGTTGTTATGATATAATCGTAGCAATGAAAATATAATGTGACGAACATAGAATACTCCACTTCGAATTAGTTTACGACTAATCATAATTTCTATACAGTTTTTTAAGTAAATTAAATAAATTATGTATATAATATACATACAGGCGTGTTGATTTTAAATCCGTGGTCTGGATTTTAATGGGTTAGATAAAGATAGAGATATTCTAATAGAAAAACCAAACATGTGGAAAAGAGACGAGACAAAAAATGGATTGATGCATTTCTTCTATAAATTGTTGCCGAATTTTCTATCAAAAATTTAAAACCACCACATTTTTTGTGTTTTTTTTTTCTTTCTTACAAATGGAGATACTTAATGTAAGTTAACTACACTTAAAATTTGTCTTACGCATTCAAATAAAGAATACGGATTTAAAATGGTCAGTATATTATATTAACAACTCCATCAAGTGGATTATATAAAAATAAGGTTATTTTTTCTTTAGTTTGTAATATATAAATGTTGTAATGTTGTACGCTAAGCAATCAGACTAAAGCTTCAAAAATATATTGTTACTTCCTTATATCCCTCTTTAATTTTATCTAATGTTATGAAAAAGGGATCTCTACAATTAAATTAAAGTACTAGACCATACAAATCATAAAATAGGATATCTGATATAAATACTATAACCTTATGAGGATAGTAAAACATTTATACGGGATATTATCAAAAGTAAAGTTGCATTTATTATGATACAGAAATAGAGAAGTTTATTTCAACTTCTAATGTTTATGGCAGGTGGTTTTCAAAATTGATGACATAATAAAATTGACGTAAATGATGAATAGAAGTTAGTAAAGCAAAGTAACGACATTTTATTGTTTTTAAAATTTAATTTTAAATTAAAATTCAATCATGCCTCAATTTTATTTCATGACAAAAATGAATTTTATGTTACAATAAATATAAATACATGAAATTCCTTGCCATCAGTAATGTATAAATTATACTATATTCCATACCAATTAAACTTTTAGTTACGTAATCGAGGGCGCGATTTTTAAATTCATTGTTGCCAACCATGGCATCATAGGTATTCGTGGCCGGGCTGACTAACTGGAATGTAAATATCCCGCTGGGGATTCAGGTGGTAGCATTGCTGTAAAAAATGTCAAGTTGCCACATTTATTTATTTATTTTCTGACATTTTAATTCGTTTTGACACTTTAGTTTTGTATTACGAGTTTTTGGTTGAAATGAATAATTTTGTTGTGATATTTTAAGCTTAAACATTTTTACTAGCGGACCTTACAGGCGAACATTGTTCTTTTTAGAACCTCTTTTAGCGTGAAGTGTACAAGATAGCTTAATAGCCGTAAAAAACTCATCGCAATTTTATTAGAATATTTTGAACGGTAAAGCGGTAGTAATGGCCCTTTGTGTCCGTTAAGTGCTTTTAACTAGGTGAGTTTTGTTGGTGTAAATAATAACTGTTTATATATTTATAATTAATTTATTTTTGTTTTCTAAAAAATTTTGATTAAAAGAAAATATGTAAAAGTGGACAACACTGTGCCGGTCAAGTTTAATCACGTGACTAAAAGTTTATTTGAAATGAACTATATAAAAAAATTCACTACACTGTATTGATGGTCCATATTTTAATATCTATGGTAAATTACATATCTTTTACACCAGAGAAATACACTAAATATCCTATAATATACATATTTACTAAAAGAAAAAAAACGATATATTATAGAGCTACAAAAGCTTTTATACCTGATGTCTTATCGATAAAAATATTATATTTGATAAATAACTTTTTATTGGTATCTTCTATAAATTTCATCGCCATATCTAGCTAATGATGTTATATACAGTATGATTGAAAAAAAGGCGTCCATCACTTTTTTCATTTCTAAGCCAACTCAGATGCCGTTTTATTTTTCAATCGTATGGTATTGTTATTAAAATAAATTATGTAAAATATAGAAATAATTAGTTTAATTTTAATATTATAGGACTTATCAATATTATTCTTTTACTTATTTTGATTTTGTTTCGGTTTGTTATTTTAGTTTGTTTATTAGTTATAAGAATCTTGATACTCTTTTTCTAACTATAGGTTATTATTCTATAAAGTATTAATTTTATATAAATAAACGTTAATAGAATATGAATGTAATGTTATTAGATAAAATTTCTTATTCTGTAGATAGGACTTGTAAGTTAATAGACCTATTGAGGGATTAAATTTAATGTGTGGATTTATTTAATCGCAAAATTTTGACATAATTATATTTTAGTAAAGAAGATAAAATTCTAAATATAAATTATTATAGCCTGTTTTTAACTGTATTTTGAAATACTATATTTAATTACAAGGTTAGAAGGTTTAGTTTTGGAAGAATTGCTGTAGTATTTTTACAAACGTTGTTGAATAATTATTATTGTTGAATAGGTACTTGTGACTGTCATTTCAACTGTCAAAATGATAATATTTTTTTCTCGGGCATACTGAATTGATTCCACGTAAAATGTTTTAATTTCATAAAAATCTTTTTATTTGCGAACTTTTTGTTAGGGGGATTCTGTATAATACATAAATATCCAGAACTCTAAAAACCGAATTGTCGAACCCCACTGTATACCAAAATTGAATTCATCTGTTAGTTTCAAATTATAAAAAATAAGTTTATAAAAACAATAAAAACAACTTGGGTCGATAAAGATAATATGTTTTTATTAATAAATAATGATGATTTTATGATTCTATAATAAATACCTATTACTAAACACAATCTGTTGCTCATTATCCTAAATAAAATTTGTACATTTTGATTATGTTAATATTTTGTTTATATCAAACATAGCCTTAGTATATACATATCTAATACAAGATAAAATAAAAGTATCGAATCTCTAGCTTATAAATTGTACGTTATGTAAGATATGAAATATCACTGTGAAATTAGACTTGCACTTTAATAACTATGGATTATGCTATAACTTAAGTTCCTTATGTATTATGTAAATGTGAGTTGTTATTTTTAATATTTATAACTCGAGATCTAAGTAGATGAGGTTATGTGTTAATGTTATTTAGGTACCTATGTTATTCTGTTTCATATTAAAATGTTTTTGTTGTCTAACGAGTAAACTGTAATAAATATATTTTAAAAAATCTGTTTTTTCTATTATGAAACCATTATATAGGGGAACCTAAAAAAAGCTCCTTATACTCAAGATTTTAATATACAGGTTGTTCCGAACTGTATTCCGAAAACTTCAGCATCATATTCTGCAAATAAAAATAAGTAAAAAAGTTCGTATAAATGTATTTCCTAAAATGATTAGTTTCGGAGATACAGGGTGTAGAAGTTTCATTTTTATTTCGATTTTTTCCAAATAATTTATGAAGTAACGTCAATATTTGGATGAAAATTGGTGTTTGGAAGTTCTTTGACATGAGAAATTTGATTTTGATGTCAATATTACTTCTATTTGTAGGGGGCACCACTTACATGTGTTTTAACTGGTTTGAAGAGTTATATCTTTTCATCCGTACCTGTATAAAACTACTGAGTGGAAAAATATTCATTTTCGTGATTTTTTACGTAAAAAATGTATCTTGGTAAAAATCGCTACGAGCAACCGTTCTCAAGGTATTTATAATGGAAATAGTCAATACATGTCATTATTGACAAAAAAATAAACACGTATTGAGTAGACAATTATTTGACTGAAATAATAAATTTGGGAAATTTTTATTTTTATAAATTAATCATAAATTTTTCTGCGAAAAAATGATGACAAAACAGTTTCTGTTAAACTTTTGACACAAAAACATTTCAAATTTATGATTTCAGTCTGATAACTATTTAGTTATCAGACTGAATTTTTAACATGTTTAATTTATGTCAATGATGACAGGTATTGATAATTTTGGTTCCAAATATCTCGAGAACCATTACTCGTAGCGATTTTTATCAAGAGACCTTTTTTACGTAAAAAACGTCGTAAATGTACATTTTTTACTCAGTAGTTTTATACAGGGACGGGCGAAAAGTTATTAGTCTTGAAACCAGTGAAAAAATATGTAGGTGGCGCCCTCTACAAGTAGGAATCATATTGACATCAAAAACAAATTTCTCATGTGAAAAAACTCCCAGACACCATTTCATAGCCCTCGCTGACGCCGGTTTTATTCGATCATACGGTATTTAAATGCACAGTATATTTAAAGTTTACTCAAAATTATGAAATTAAAAATGGACATTTTTCTTAACCGAGGAGCCTCACCTGGACCAGTAAATTACAACCCCCATAAGTAAATACTGTGTATTAAACAATAAATATTTAAATTATATATGATTGATGAAAATTATGGAAATACAATATTAATATTTTTCACCGAGCAATCGAATTTCTCACAGCAATCCGTCTCTGTAATTTTTATTAGTATTTTATTATTTTTTTCTTTGGAAGGGTACTCCGGAAAACTTATTTTTGTGCCTAGTTCGCTTAGAGTTTGACAAGAAACTGCTTTCCTCAAAGACTTTTCAGGCGGTGTTGTTGATGTCTGAAAAAAGTGGATAATATTAAAAATTTGATGTTTAAATGTACATATGTTACACAATATTTAATTGTATGATACACATATTCTTGAAAGAATACAGCACCAAGTTAAATATTACATAATGACTAATCTCACATAAATTATTAATCGTTATTTCCAAAAAAAGGCCACTGTGACACCGTTTCTTTTGTGTGTATACTTGTGTTAAAAAATAGCATAGTCATATTTTTAGATATTTAATAACACTGATTTTACTATCCCATATTTAAACAATTTCAATAAGTAAAATTAACAAATAAGTAATAAAATAACCACATCTCCAATATGTAATATACAGGGTGTCCCAGAAATAAGTACAAGTATTTAAACTGGTAGTAAACTTCGACTCTAGAAACACGCCCATGAGGTTTATTTTGCAAAAAATGAAAATTATGTTTTTCTGTACATCTTCAGGAAAATATTGATAACTTTTGAGTGCTGCTTGTTCAGTTTCCAGAAATTTATTTTTAGTGCTTCGAGAGAATGCAATGTTGCCACCTCCTCATTATCCACATTCTATATGTTTATAAGTTATAAATTCACATTTTTAAATTTCTACAAAAAACTTTAATTAATGGATATAAATATTCCTAGACATTTCACCAAGACGCATAGTCTTCTCACATAAGTCCAATAATGATACTGAACAAATGAATAAATCAAATATTTTTCACCTTCTTTTGGAATTTCTTGAATCAGCGCCTTCTATTAGGTATATAATAGTCAACGTTTGACCTACATTTAAACAATGATTTAAACAGATCAGCTTTGTGGTTATCCAATTCATCTGAGATTTTACTCAAAACAGTAACTTCTGACAAAATTAAAAAAATAGGCAAAATGTAAATAAGGTGTAAAAACACTTTTATTATTCGAAAAAATATCAATTATTTTGGTGTTTATTCACAAAAACAAGAGTGTGGAATAGAAAAACAGGGGGCTTTCTCAAAAAATAATCCTAAATAATTCAGGTGGCGTATTTTGTGCCAAATACACGTGGGTAATGAAGTGCTGTCAAGAATTGCAGTGAAGTGTTGTTAAGTGTAAGGTTGCGGTTTTAGGTAAAATGATAAAACAACGCTCTAACCTAATAAACCAACTTTCAAAGTTAAATAACTCGGTTGTTATCAGCTTATTTTAAAAATGGTAAAGAAAAAATGTGTTTCTTTTGGCCAGATCTACAAAAATTACCCTTTAAAATATTTGCACTTATTTATTATATTATTATAATATAAAGTAAATAATACAAACGACAAATTATCAATTAAACAGTTTTTTTTTCTTAAATATTTACAGAAATAAATCGATTTTACATACTTACAGATATACTGCTCTCGGCCCAGCTATGCATGGAGCCTTTCTCCGAAAGGGCTGCGCTCACTCTAGGGCCAATATGACACCTGATTTTCGTGGTAGTAAAGAATGCTCGATTGTTTTTCTCAGGCTTTAGTATTATTATGTATAATCTGGGGACGAAGAGAAATGTCCAATTGACTAGAGCACTTAGTGTAACGCACATACTCATTGTTATTACCTAAAAATTATTGATAGCAAATAACTTACGAGTATCAATTAAGTATTTTTGTAAAAACACAGCTTATTTAGTACCAGTGAGACAAAGCACCAGTCTGAATAGTTAGTTTAAACGGAGCTTTAGTTGAGCTCAGACTCAAAATGCAACTTGTTACATTACATAAAATTATTGAATTTCTAATACGAGGTAACTAAGGTACGGAAAGATTCATGCAAATGTAAATTGTCTGGCTGGTTATGAACAAACTGTAGTAAAACTAAGCCAGCATTGATTTAAAATGTTAAAATAACTTTTATTTTTAATGTGGTTAATAAATCATTTCAATACATCTTTATAATAAACGCAAAACATTCACACTTTAACTGACATTGTTTATGTATATTATACACTAAAATATTTAGTACATCAACAAGGCGAAACAATGTTAATTAAAATTTAAGTAAGGTTCATTTAAGAAAAATCTGAAATTTCGAGACAGTTGAAATGTGTCTTGAGGGTATAATGTGTACGGCCATCTCAAAAATATTTTTGCTAAATTATCTCCAAACGACATTTTCTTAAATATCGGGTATGGTATGTTAGTATATGACATAAATTAGGATTGATTGACATATTCAATTGTTTTAGTCACTTCCTGTTTCACAGGAAATGTCTACAACTTTTGATTTTTAAATGGCACCGTCGGTATTTGATTACTTTATTTGATAGAAAATGACATTCTGAATAGAATGACATATCATATGTATTGATTGTACTTTCTTAATGTTTCTGCCCTATTTTCTTCGCAGACGGTATGTGAAAATCTTACAAATGAAGAAGTTACTTTATTGCTGAAAATTGCTATGCACTAAAAGCAAATGGACGCGTTTTTATTTTTTTTTTGAATAAAAATCAAAAAAACAAAAAGAAAGTTTCAATATCTAAAGTAGTTCTTGAATTATCGAGTGTTATGTGTTAAAATTGAGTTTTCAAATTAAAAACACCGCGATTACTGACGTTTTTTCATTATAAAAATAAATGGACACCCTAACGATATTCTTATAACTCGATTTGAGATGCCTAGAAACATATCTAATGATTTTATCTTGCAATCTTTCAGGAAAAAAAAACTTTTAAAAATACGCGGTTTTCGACCCTGATTTTACTCCACTAGACAAAAAAGGGGTACTTGTATCTCTGAGAAATATGGCAACGCTGCAACAGCACACCCTCGCATTTTTCTCACTCCGACTTAATAAGATTCCTAAGCGATTCACTTTTGCACATGTAAATACCGACCCGAAAGGAAGAGTTGCCGGCGCGATATAAAACAAGTAATTTACGATAAAAATCTGTAAAAGCGTACCTTGGCACCACTTCCATAATAAATAGGTGTAAAGGCAATCCATATCACGCACGTTGTGTACATTGCAAAACCAATAAATTTAGCTTCGTTAAAATTTTCAGGTACATTTCTTGTCATCACAGCGTAAACCGTGCACAATAATATCAGGAAAAAATCGAATAAGTATGGCACTATAACTCCTTCTGTAGTAATTTTACACTCCAGCAAGGTAAACTGAGGCTGATATACTTCAGTTGTCTCAGGTACTTGGTAGTACAACATACTACCAGCTATAACAGCTTCAACGAATACCATAGATAACGTTATTATCACCTGAGAAGCTGCTGACATCCACAATAGTTTCCTGTTGGGAAATTTCTTCTTACTACTAACTAAAATCCGAGCTATCCTATTCGTTTTAGTGAGTAATGCTGAGTAAATCATTCCGAAACTTAAACCGGGCAGAAATCTAGTAATGGTGCAGCTTAATTTCGAGGGTTCACCGAGCATTGCAAAAATTGACATGTAGGCTAGTGCTGTTCCTATTAATATAATGTAACTTAATTCTTTGGTTGAGGCTTTGACTACTGGAGTGTCGTTGTATTTCAAAAATATCATTAGTGTGAATGTGGTTGATAGGAGTCCCAAAACAGCGATTGTCATTGCTGTGATGGCAGAACCATCGAACCAACGCACAAACACAATAGGTAGTTGAACACAACCTAAAAATAATAATATTTATAATAGATAATAGTTTAATTGTTTCTTACTTCTTAAACCTTTACATAATATCCATATATTTTTTTTTCCTTTTTCTTGGGTATGAGGTTTTTTAATAAATTGGAAAAAAAATTAAAAGATTTTTTTATGCGACGCGCGACGTTTCGCTCCAACATAGTGGGCTTTTTCAAGCACTTTATTCTTGAAGTCGCCTTGCTAGCACCAATCTTAACACTAGCACCAAGACTGGTGCTAGCAAGGCGACTTCAAGATACAAGATAGAAACTGTGACTTTCACATCACTACGAAGAGGGTGAAAAAATGCAACATTTTTAAAGTCGCCTTGTATTTCAGAAATCAATCTTAAAAAATATCATGTTTTCCCATTAGACCCTTCATTTTTATTACTACCCTGCATATTGCAAAATTAAGGACGCAATTTCGAAGCCAAAGGATACAGCGTAATTCTTTAACTGCACAAAAATGCATTAAATTAAAAATGTTTGTTTATTTCATTGTTCAAGATAAATTCTGTATCAAGTTTCTGGTTTACTAATTCTTTACTTCATTCTTTATACAAAGAGAAGGAACATTTTGAAAATATTTTTAGTAAATCTGGAGGGCAATTTAAACAATTTTTTAAATTAAAAGTAAAGTACTAAAGTAGTAGTTAATAATTGAAATTCGTATATTTTTGTTGGGCTGAAATTTTTGAAATCTGTATATTTTGTGAGAATTCCTATCGCCATAATTCTGTCATAATCTATGTGGTTTATGAAATATGATCATTTTCAGCTAAATTTTATACACAATATATTTAAAGGTATTTACGAATATTTTTTTTTTAATTTATTATAATTTTATTTTTGAAGCTAATCGTTTTTAAAGCAATTTTCGTACAAGTATTAAAAGTGTATCATATCTCAATTAATTATGTTTTTCACTATTTGTATGATTATATAATTTAAAATGTGTATTTAACTCGAAAGCTTCATTCAGGACCTCGCAATTAGTGGTTTCAATTACACTTTATACTTTTTAGTTTACAATCATTCACAATGTTTAAAAAAAAACAATTAAAATTAATAGAATATCCTAGCAACACCTTGCGGTAATCAGTTTTATCCATAGAGAAAGCCTAATATTTACCTTATAAAACAACAAACAGTAAACCTTTGATTTCTAACCACATTTCCTCTTGGCGGATGATATTCAAAGGTCAAAATGATATTCTTCGCAAATTTTGAAGTATAATTAGTGGAAAAGCTAAAAGTTTGTTTACTTTTTCCACTAATTGAAAATTCCTACCTTCTGAATGCTTACATTCGAATTAGAGGAAAAAACTTCTACGCTAATTGATACTACTAATTTATTCCAATAATTGCGAAGTTCTGAATGAAGATTAATTTAATTTTTTGACTTCAAACACTATAAATATATACTTACTTGTTTTATTTTCATTTGGAGAAAATCCAGCTGGACATTTTTGACAACTAGTCTTGTTTTTTGTTAGTATTTCGCCGTTAAGACAAGGGACACATACCCAGCAACATTTTTTATTTCCCAGCTGCTTTTCGCTCTAGGCAAAGAAAAGAAATATCTAAATTTTAAATATAGTTCTTGTTAGACTACTACGACCACTAGATATATGAAATACGGTACAATAAAATTTAAACTCGTTTAGTCCTTTGCTCAATTATTATTCAGACTTTAATGCCTAGGTGGCCAATAATATTGCACAAATAGAAATATTGTGCAATATTATTGACCGTCTAGGAGCCACCTACAGGTATTGAGTAGCATTTATATTTTGTAGAAATCTGAATTATTCTTGGATGCGACTATACATCGATATTTACCTTATACGATCCTAAAGAACATTCTTCTGAGCAAATACTGGTCACATTTTTACCTTTGAGTTGGGGGTGGTTAAAATTTCTCGCCCATACAAGGCTCCTATTATTCCAAGTTCCGATTTGTACGTAGTCGTACGTTCCATTAACTTTTCTAAAATTCATTATGTCATATCTACCAGGAGGATCACCGTTTTCGTCAAACCGAAATAGTTCGTTATTCGACTCAAAAGAAACTTTCATCAAATAATTCTGTAATAACAAAATTATTGTGTAAATAAGTAGTTAAATATTTTTGAGCATAAACTATTTATGTGTTTTATATGCTTTGTAAAAGAAAATATATTATGATCTGTTTAACATGCCTTACTCTAAAAAGTGATCCATTAAAAGGTAAAATATCTTTACAAACACCCAATCCTTTTCCACAAATGTCATTATGCATATTATGCAGAGCATAAGCAAAGCTGTAGATTGCTTTTCTGACAAAACTGAGCTTGGGATCTTGTTTGTAATCTTTTTGTTTTAGGCTCTCCTGACCTATAAAAAAAATTAATTAGACATTATAGCATCAATATTATAACATTCGTGTTATAACCACATAGATCTATCGGTGAAAAAACAGTTCAATGCTTCCCATATTTTTTATTAAACCAACTGTCTTGATCAAAATCTCTGATAAAATTGTGGGACTAAAGGAAAAAGACCAAAAAGGAGAGTATTCTTCGAATGCTACTTGGAATGCAGTAAAGAACAAAAAACATGTTAAAATCAAACTAAATAGTGCAAAAACTTTAGAGAAAAAGCCGCAGCTATCAAATAACACAATGAGCTTAACAAACAAGTAAAAATAACTGGCAGAAAAGACAAGCGACAATGGACTATCCTTAAGGACTATCGACTTATCACTGCAAGCAGAAAATGCTACAAAAAGTGTAGTATTTTCAACCATGACATCAAAGAGCTGTACAACATCACAAGAAAACTAGCTTACAATGAATGACTAACTTTCTAAGATTAAAGGGCTGGCAACAGCGCTGGACAAGTTTTAACATCCACAGAGAAAGAAATGAGCAATTCACTGAAATTGTTGGTAGCATAAATGATGAATTTATGGATAATAATCCGACAATAGCGCCACTTCTAGCCATAAACGAAAATCCGTACAGAATAAATACAAGCTATTCTTACAAAAACGGAATAAAGGAAGCTATTAGATCGTTAAAGAAAGGTAATGTAATCTACGACTTATCTTCAGGAATATTTCAAATTGACATTAGCCTTGACCAGAATGATTTATGGAGCTTAACCAACCAGAGGCAAGTGTATAATGATATCAATCTGAGGAAATGGACGTAGATTGGTCATACCGTAAGGCAAAGTAGCAACATCCACAGAGAAGAACGCTGACGAAACATCGCTGGCAGTTATTGAGTGAAACCCCAAGGCAATAAAAGAACTGGTTTTCCCAGAGACGCGTAGCAAAGAACAATAATTAAAAGGAAGATCGAAACAGTAAATCGATCATGGTAAGATAAAATTAATTTCAAATGATCGAACCCGCTGGTGAGTATTTACGAAAGCCCGATGCTCTACGTATATTTGATATCAGTTAAACTTTTTTTTTAGTTGCGTCATCGAGGGCGCAATTTTTAAATGCATTTTTGCCAACAATGGACATATTTGGCACCGGACTGACTAACTGGAATTTAAATTTCCCGCTGGTTAAGCTTAAAAATGTTTACTAGCAGACCTTGCAGTCGAACTTTCTTCTTTTTAGAACCTCTTTTAATGCGAAGTGTACAAAATAGCTTAATAGTCGTAAAAAACTCATCGCAAATTTATTAGAATATTTTGAACGGGAAAGCGGTAGTAATCATAAAATAATAAATACAAGAAGAAGTGTCAAGTCAATGTTAAATTATGGAAACAGCGTGGCTGCCTGGGTAACTAATTTTCAGATATGGCGGCTGGGACATTTGACATGACATAGACATGACAATTTCAATTTTATGAAATTTATTTCCGTTTCCGGTTTTTAATGGCGGGCTGTTCAGGAGGTTTAAATGAGGGTTAATATACTTTTACTCTTTCTAGTAGTAAATAATACAACAAAATTACTCAAAAATATTTATTTGGAATTTAGAACAATGTAAATATGCAAATCAACACAATTAAAGAGCTATAAACCAATAAACTACTGTATCAATATCAAATATTTAAATAATATCAGAGATGCTGTGTTAAAGTGAATTAGTAAAGTAACAGTGCATTGACTTACAGAAACTTGAAGATAAATAAATGTTTTCACAGCTTCACGGGCATAAAACTAAATAACTGGAAGCAGGAAAAAGGCAACCGGAACCCACACAAAACCTGGAATCAAAAAAAATATGTAAAAACATAAATATAGGTACATAAGACTTTTGTGAATTAAATCAAACAGGACTTGAATGAAAATAAAATGAATAAAAAATATAATACATATACATCTACTACCTCATTTGTATTTTAAAAATAATCTACATACATAGATTTTTAGCATTATTGCTATGATAATACATAATAGGTACCTATGTGATATGTAATTACGCATTTCTGTTCATCTTGTAGAAAATTAATGTAGGCTAATAATAGTTCAATAATCATAATTTACCTTGTATAACTTGCTTTCAATTGCTCAAAATCACCGATCAGTCTTTAAAGTAGTGATACGGAAAAATCCTTGGCAAAGAATATCCCAAGATCCTTGGGTTTAAAGTTAAAAAATATAAAAACAGTTAATATATTACCTATTTTTACATATAATATGGCCCATACCTACTACACGCAGAAACGTCGATTTCATCATTTTCTTCATGTAATTAATATCATATATACTTTATTAAAGTGTTAACAAGGAACTTTATATCAAAAACATCTTTGTACTTATAAATTTCAGCCGAAATATCAGAAACAAACTTCCAATCAAATCTAAACGGCAAAAATTAAAATGGCGCCCGACCTTGCCAGAGGCCTCGGGAGCTGACGCTGACACACAAACAAAAGACAAAAGAACAGGACGCCGACGTGCATAAAAATGTTCCGTAGCAGAAATTGACAGAAATCATATAGAAATCAGAAATATTCAGATTTTTGTCTAGGACAGTCTAGAAGGCCATGCTTTCTGCCTGGGTAGAACCGCGCCACAACTGTTTCCAATTTTCCGGTTTACTGTCACCCCCCTGGTAGTAATGACCTTCTATGTTTCTTAAGTGCTGTTAACAATGACTAAAGAATCCAAGGACAAATAACACCCGAGAGCAAATTGTGACGCTGTCACCAAACAGTGCCGTGGCACATATTTTTCTTAACCTAGCTGTTTGAAGCAATATTTATATTTTTTGATAATTGTTTTGACTACGCCTATGGTGTATCATCCTAATTAATTACGAAAAAAACGTATTAAAATGTTAACAAAAGGTACAAAACTAGTATCGACGTATAACACATATCAAGTACATATAGATGTTAATTGAAATTGAAGAATAATTATCGAATTCAATAAGAAAACGCTAAAAAGTTGGAGTGGACTGTTTATTTACCTATGAAACGTAACTCCTGGCTTTTTCTTATCGCTGCTGCTTTTACACTTGAAAGCTGAACAACTAATCACCATTTTAAATGTATTAACTTTATATCTACTATTCTACTATTCTTACTATTACACCAGCGAAATTGTCGCTGGTGACCAAATGATGACTCATTGTTTGCCACCAAAACAAAGAAAAGGTCACAAATTTTGCTGCAGCCCGTATAGGGGCGTTACATGTCCTTATATTCTTTAGTCATTGACTGTTAAGAAGGTAAGTTTTGTTAACATAAATAATAACTGTTTATATATTTATAGTTAATTTATTTTTGTTTCCTAAAATATTTTGATTAAAAGAAAATATGTAAAAGTGGACAACGCTGTGCCGGCCAAGCTTAATCACGTGACTAAAAGTTTATTTGATATGAACTATAGAAATACAGTATGTCCATCCGTTCTGTCGCTACATGGCGTCAGTAAGGAAAGAAACAAAATTCTCTGTTAGCGAGCAATTCATTGACTTTCTATAAATATTTTAAATAACATTACAAAAATTTCAAAATTCACCAAATCAGTTTCAATTATAACGTTTTTCCACGTAAATGAGACGTAATCATTATAAAAATTAAAAATTAAGAAGAAAAACAATAAAAAATTAATAAAATTATGCAACTATTTTGTCGATAAATATGTTCCTATAAAATTCCTTTCATAGACGCAGATCAAGAAGCGGTAAAAGCAGTGGCGGATACAGAGGGGGGCCCATGGGGCCCGGGCCCCCCTAAAATCTGTTAATTGGGTTAAATTTAGGCTTTTGGGTTAAAAATGGCGCCCTAAAAGGCATGTTTTACATAATTTTATATTTGGGCCCCCCTAAAATAAATTTCTGTATCCGCCCCTGGGTAAAAGGTAAGTTATAGAGTTTAATCATTTTCACAAAGTGGTGGCCCATGATAAAAAACTTAATGTAAAAATCAAGAACAAAGTCCACACCACTGCCAGTTTTGACAGTGGTTTGAACTTTGTTCTTGATTTTAACATTAAGTTTTTCATGTAGAGGTACTTTAAAGTATGGACAAATTTTAACAAAACTGTGTTATGGGATACGTATTAAAACTTGACTTAATAGCTTTTCATTATTTTTTTAATAAATGTTCTGTGTGCAAATATAAAAAGTTGTAGCCTGTTAAAAATGGGACAAAATGAAACACTCACGCTGTATTGTCACACTTGATAGACTGTGAATCTACTTCTACCAGGCTTAGTATCCATATGCATGTACAGCGGGTAAAGAGAGTCAATAGCAGAAAAAAAAATTATAAGTTTGATAAAATATGTATTGGTCTGCCTCTTACTGGGCTTATAATTATGTTAGGGAGTAATTGTAGCTCACCTGTACATGTTCGTTGAGTATTCTTGGAAATGTGTAAACTGGTATCCTTTTTATCCTTTAAGATGCAATGGAATTTCTCTTCCCAGAACTCTTCAAACCAAGGATTCCTTCTGTTCGTTTCAGGCTTCAATGAGAAATAATAATTGTCGAAGGAATCCACGTGAGGCGAATGAATCCTAATCGACATACCTCCAAGGGCTTCTTGCTCGTATTCTTTTGTTACGTCCATACGATCAGCCCATCCATCACTAGAATATTTAGAATATTATATACTTTTATCACATTATGTCAAAAAACTTTATTATGGTTCTTGACGCAATGATAGAAAACACAGATGATTTAAATTTTAGAGTAAATATACAGGGTGTCCCAGGCTGAGCGTGCATTAGAAGTTTCTAGAGAACTACAATATCTAGATCGGTGATTTGTTGCACATTATTATTTTACAACGAAATCTGTCGATTAAAAATATTTTCAATATGGCGGCACTTCCGGAAATGCCGCAAGTTGACAGCAACTTTTTTATTTTTAATGAGTGCCCCATTTTTTATTACAAACTTAAATTCTATGTAATACTTCATGAATTTTGATAATAAACACTCTATATATCAAATCCAACATTAACCGTTTTTGAGAAAAATTTTTTTTTAATTTTTGAACGAAAAAAACTGCCGGTCAAAAATATGTGTATAACCCAAATGTCAAATTTAGTGATTATCACAGTTACTGTGACATAAAGAGAAGACACGTCGCTATCTATTTCAAAAATTAAATTGTTTAAGTGTCATATAGTAATGGCGGTAGCTATCATGGAATTGAGCGATTAAAAAATTATCATAAATCATTTTTTTCAAATTGAAACCCACTTTTTTCTGCTTTTTTTATTTCACTAGTGAAAAGGTTTTCCAATTCGTTACTTTTTGAGTATACATGTTCCTATACCTAAAATAAATCGTTTTTAAGTATATATTTTTCTTGATTTTATCCTTGTTTATACAGGGTCCGGCAATAGTGCGTCGGGCATCTGTAGCTCCTAGAATAAAAAACTTTTTAAAATTTTAAAGAATTTTGTTTAAGTGCAAACCTAAAGTATGTACCAGGATGTATTTCAGGAACATATTGTAACTTCTATAGGGTGGCTCAAAAAAGTGTGAGTGGACCTGGATGATTTTTTTAAATGGAACACCCTGTATATTATTGCATTTTTGGCTTCCTTTCAGATCACTTTACATGACCCTAAGATATGAATAAATATATTTCGATAGTTTCAGAGATATTAAAAAATAAATCAAAAATATATATTTTTCAGCCCTTCTTAAAAAAATTATTAAAAATACAAGAACTGTTCTGAAATCAAAACTATATTAGGTATTTACTTTAGATAGTCTGTCTTATTTTGCTATAAATATGGTAATAGTAAATCATACAGGATGTTCAATATTCTACGCCAAACTTTCTAAATTATAAAAAAAATTTCTTTGTTATTTTAAATGGAACACCCTGTATATTATTTTTTTATTAGATGGAGAGTTAAAAAATGAACATTTTTTATATTTAAAGTATTTCAAAATTTTTAACGGTTTCGCAGATACGCGCAGTATTATTTCATATGGCGCTTTCAATGGTAAAATACGAGAGAAAAATCATTGGGTGGCTTTGATAAAAATCCAGATAAAAATTTACTGTGGAAAATGCCATATGAAATATAAACCCGCAAATATCTGCGAAACCGTTAAAAATTTTGAAATACTCTAAATACAAAAAATGTTCATTTTTTAATTCTCCGTCTATTGAAAATATAATATACAGGGTGTTCCATTTAAAAAAAACAAAGAAAAATTATTTTATATTTTAGAAAGTTTGGCGTAGAATTTTGAATATCCTGTATAATTTACGATTTTCATATTTATAGCAAAGTAAGTACAGACCATCTAAAGTAAGTACCTAATATAGTTTTGATTTCAGAACAGTTCTTGTATTTTTAATAATTTTTTTAAGAAGGGCTGAAAAATCTATATTTTTGATTTATTTTTTAATATCTCTGAAACTATCGAAATGTATTTATTCATATCTTAGAGTTATCTAAAGTGATTTGAAAGAAAGCCAAAAATGCAATAATATACAGGGTGTTCCATTTAAAAAAAATCAGCAAGGTCCACTCACACTTTTTTGAGCCACCCTATAGAAGTTAAAATATTTTCCTGAAATACATCCTGGTACATACTTTAGGTTTGCACTTAAACAAAATACTCAAGTTTTTTATTCTAAGAGCTACAGATGCCCGACGCACTATTGCAGGACCCTGTATATAAGGATTTTATCTAGCTTCCTTTGACATTAAGTGTCAAACAGTCAGACAATAATTTATTTCTATCTGTCAGAAAACGTATTATTTGAATTTCTTATATTATAAATATTATCTGCCTTAAGAGTTTAAAAAGTGTATTTATAAAAATATATCTCGTATTTTCGCTCTTTACTCTTTAGTGATATCTAATAGTTGATATTATTAATAATATATCGTATGATCGAAAAAAAAAGTTGGCTTGGAACAAACATACTGGTTTTTGAACAAAGTGTCACAATATATCATAACCAGATTGTTTAACATCACTTGACGTTTAAAGTCATAGGCTACTTGTTAAAATCAAGAGCAATATACGCTTTAAAACTAAATCTTAAATAACTTAAAAACAATTTATTTTAGGTATAGGAATATGTATAGTCAAAAAGTAACGAATTTAAAGAATTTTTCACTATTGAAAACGGAAAATTTTTTCACTATAAAAAAACGGGTTCCCATTGAAAAAAAATGATTTTTGATAATTTTTTAATCGTTCAATTCCATGACAGCTGTGGTCATTATTATATGACATTCGAACAATTTAATTTTTTAAATAGATAGCCACATGACTCTTTATGGCACAATGCCTTGGTAATCACTAAATTTGACGTTTAGGCTATACACATATTTTTGACAGGCACTTTTTTTGTCCAAAAATTTTAAATATTTTTTTCTCAAGAACGGTTAATGTTATATATAGAGCGTTTAATATTAAAATTCAGTATGTAATAAAAAACGGGGGCACCCATTTAAAATAAGAAAATTTTCGGTCAACTTCCGGTATTTCCGGAAGTGCCACCATATTGAAAATATTTTTAATCGATAGATCTCGTTGTGAAACAATGATGTGCAAAAAATCTCCGATCTAGATATTGTAGTTCTCTAGAAACTTCTAATGCACGCTCAGCCTGGGACACGCTGTATACAACGGATAAAAAAAATACACATCAAAATACCTATTATTTACCTGCCAATAAATAAAAAGTGATTGGTCATGTTTAATCTTCTTGTCGCAGCAAGTAATCCTTTCACTGTCAGTCCTTCGCAGAAACAAACCACAACCGTGGCGTTCGGATCTCGTCTTAGGTCCAGAATGATTTTGTCAAAGTCTGCGTCCGCTGCGCCACTCAAAACAGAGGCAGTTCGGGCTATGCACACGCTAGCGTTTTCAGCTAGTTCCTGAAATGCCTGAATACCTGATTGTCCATAGTTTTCTACAAGTCAGTGAATATTGAATAAATAATTTTATATTAAATAGACTTATAAAATAATAATAGACATGAGATTTAGGACATGATACATTTAACACATGATACATTTTTATAAAATGTAACAAAAGCGCTTTAATTTGGAGAATGTTTCATCCTGCCTTTGACATCGCTTGACCCGTGGCTTGACCATGGAGCGAAAAAAATAAACTACAGGCAAATAAAGCCTAATTTTTACTAAATAAATAAAAAAAATATCTTGTAGTGTCCACTTTATATTATGTAATACTGTATATACAGGGTGGTCCAAAAAATAAGTACAAAAGTTCATATAAATTATAAATGTCCTAAAATGCTTCGTTTTGGAGATACAGGGTGTAGAAGTTTTATTTTTATCTTGGTTTTTCCAAATAATTTCTGAACTAAAGTCGATATTTGGATCAAAATTGGTATCTGGGTGTTTTTTGACATGAGAAATTTGATATCCAAACCAAGCCACATGTTTTTTAACTTATTTAAGGTAACTGAAGAGTAACTTTTGTTCGTACCTGTATAAAACTACTGAGTAAAAAAATATACATTTCCGCAGTTTTTTATGTAAAAAAGGTCTCTTGGTAAAAATAGCTTCGAGTAATGGTTCTCGAGATATTTGGAATCGAAATAATCAATACATGTCATCATTGACTTAAATTAAACATATTGACTAGATGCCAAAGATTCAACAGAAAGAGTTTTATCACAATTTTGGCGAAGAGAAATTTATAATTAATTTAAAAAAATAAAAAGTTCCCAAATTTATAATTTCAGGCAAATAACTATCTAATGTTTATTTCCATTTTAAATATCTTGAGAACTTGTTGCTTGTAGCGATTTTTACCAAGATACTTTTTCTACGTAAAAAATACGGAAATGTATATTTTTTCACTTAGTAGTTTCATGCCGGTAAGGACGAAATATTTGGGCGGCGCCCGCTAGAAGTAGGAGTCATGTTGACATCGAAATCAATTTTATCATCATCAAAAACACCCAGACACCAATTTTGATTCAAATATTGAAGTTCGTCAGAAATTATTTGGAAAAAATCGAAATAAAAATGATTCTAATTATCTAATACAAATAGTGTTTAGTATTTTTAAGAGAAATGTTATAATGCAAGTAAGTTATAACTTACTATTAAAACTACTATTCGATCAAAAACAAACAGCATCAAAGAATATACGCAATAAATAGACGCAAATATAGTATATACGCCTGGGGAATGACAATCGACACTTTAGCTCGTACTCTTCTTTATTTTTTATTGGGGCGTTCTACCAGTTGGCCTTAAGAAGGTTGTAATTTATTTCTATACTCAGTAAAAATTATTTTTAAATGGTGTAAAATTAATAAACTAATGGGTGTCGTTTAAAATTCGAGAAAAAATATTTTTTTGGAAATAGATTTGTGTGTCTGGAACCTTCTATCTTTTTTTAATTTTTCCTCAATTAGTGTAAATTTTTGGTAAGTTTTATGTCCATTTTTACTAAATGGCGTCTAGAGATTGACCTCGTCAAAATTATCATCGATTGTCATTCTCCAACCGTCTTTGACGCCGTTTTTTTCAATCATACTGTAGATATTAATTTAGAGAATATTTTTTACAAACAGCTTCTCGATATATGTACACTGACTTTTAATTTTTACTTCATTAATATACATTTTCAGTGAAACAAAAAATTCATAAATGAATGTATCATTACTGCCCTATTTTTATACTCGTACTCGTACAAAGCATTTATTAAAACCTAACTATTGTTCTCATTATAATCGTGAAAAGAAAGAGTTGTTTACATTTCTTCAACAAAAACTTTATTAATATGCTCCTCTTTTACTGAAATACCAGTAAATTACTTTCTGTTACTCGACACAGTGTACGTATTATATATGAATAACAATATACTGTTTTGATATATCTACTTTTCTATACTATATTTCAACTATAATAATATTAATGTTAGATTTTTTATATTTCTGATATTATACAGGATGTAATTATTAAATAAGTGCGAAAGATGATTGCTTTTTAACAAATAGTAGATAGGTTCCATATAAAATTTTCAAACCAAAATCACAATATCATCGACTTTTTACGAAATCGGTTCACAGTTAAATGTTGACTTTTGGTGTGTGGATGTCACTTATTAAATCATTATTTTAGGTAATATGATTATCTTGGTATGCCCAAACATAAAGTGTTACTACTCTACTTTCAATATTTCACTATAATTATTTTATCATCAGTTTATTTTTAACACAAAAATTACTAATTAATAACAGTCAATTTTGAAACCCTATTTCAAAGTTTTTGCCTGGTGACATATTAAGATTCCAGTGTACATTGTGCTTTTGGTTTCAAAATCCATTCTAAAAAGTTCTATTTTCGAAAAAGTTAATTTCTTATGAAATTAACTTTTTAGAAATAGTCGATCTCTTAATTTTGTAAAAGCAATCATTAATCGCATTAGATTGGCACTTCTCATACTTACCGTTTGTGTTAACTGCCGAAACGTAATTCCATCCAAAATATGAGACGATATCTAAAATAGCTTGAGCTTGATAGTAGTCGGACGGAACGACTCTCAAAAAATAATTGAATCTACTTTTGTCGGATAGATCTTTAGAAGTTGAGGAATAGCCAATCTGAAACACAACTGAGTAGTCAAATAAATAAAATAGATAGTTAAATAATTATAATCTTTTATTAATCATGAAACAGCTAACCGATTGACTAATAAAAAAATTACTTTGGACTGTCATTACTTTTTTTAATCCACTGACGAACACCTTAAAATTTTCATGTATTTTAAAGATCTATGTGTGCCGTTTTTGGTGATTTTCTAAAAAATGTGTAGCTGAATTTTTTAACATTTTAGCCTCTAGAAAAAAACAGTAAATAACTTTTGAATACTATTATATTTCGAAGTGTTCTCCACGAAGAGAAATGCATTTTTGCATCCGTTGGAACCACTTCTGAAAGCAGTTATTCCACTCGCTTGCTGGTACCTTAAAAATTGCGTTTTTGAAGGCGCTCACTGCATCTTCTGGGGACTGAAACCTTTGACCACGCAGTTCATTCTTAATTTTTAGAAAAGCAAAAAAGTCGTTGGGACTTAGGTAGGGACGGTATGGAGGATGGTTCAACCATTGATGTTTTCTTGCTTTCAAACTCAATTGTTTTACGAACTGTGTGGGAACTTGCATTGTCTTGTTGGAGGATCATTCGTCGTTGATATTTGGTTTTTCGAAACTCAGCAATTATTTCCGGCAAACAAATAGATATTTACCAATCAGCAGTAACAGTACTTTCATCTTGAAGAGGAATTGTTTCTACATGGCCGACCTTTGAGACAAATGTCGCCACTATCTTTTTGGAAACACTTCTAAACAGATAACTTTCGTCGGTTTTGGTTCATATCGGAACCCCCAAACAGCCAATTGGCACTTACTTTCGGGTTCATAAGAGTAAATCCTGGATTCATCACCACTGACAATACTGTATATATATTTTGATTCTGCTGCGTTAAACCGGTGTAGAGTAGATTTTTGACACCAATAGGATTCTAATTGCTTTTTGATCTTTCCCCAACAGATGCGGTATTCAACGAGGAACTATTTTTTACACATAATTTTTTGAATTGAGCTCATTGATGCTTTTTCACAATATGTGATGTGTGTACAGCATCGACGTTTTCCTGGGTGACTTCCGTCATTGGTGGAACTGTTTTTGGATTGTCGCTAATCCGTCCACGTTTAAATTCCCCATACCAACGAGAAATTGAGGACTAATGTGGTGCTTCATTGCCAAAAACAGAAATCAACTCGGCAAGGCATTCTTGTTGAGACAACTGTCTTTGAAAATTGTAAAAAATTATTGAGCGAAAATTAGTTTCTCGGCTTAATTCCATTTTTCGACTGACTCGTTAACTGTTTTAGTTAACTGTTAAGTTAACTAAAGATGACAGTTAATTTTGACATTTGATTTATGTTGAGAGGCGCCTGCTATGTTTCTATATGCAAAATATAAAAGACAACCCTCGTATCATATGGGAAAACAGCAAAATGTTGTTATATCGGTAAAAATTTGAAACACCCCATGGATTCCTTTAATAACGTAAATAATTTAAAAACTACTTTATCATCAAGATCTTTTCTCTACAGCTTGTTTATATAGTTAGTTTGTATTACACTCAATCCACCAATCAGATAATGTCAGAACTAAGGTTTCAAATTTATTAGATAAAAAACAATCACACAACGACTTATGTTGACACCCGTTATATTATGTTATAGTTTAAAATGAACAGATTTTTTTAAATTTTATGGCAAGAAAGGAAAGACTTAGTGAAATTAAGGTAAATGTGATTGGCTCTAACCTAAATTACGTCAAGTGTTAAAACCAGGAAAATGGTAAAATATTTTTGGACATGTCGTGATAGAATGCTGTAGTAATTAAATAATGCATTATATAAAACACCCCAGCTAGCCATTAGTGAAGTAAAACGAACATTAGTCATCAGCTAATGTGGATAGCTCGTACTTTATACCAAAAATAATTTAATATTTTTAATATCAAATTATTAAAACTAACACAATAAGAAAGTTCTTAAATGTAGAATATATCGAATCGTAATACCTAAAATTTTTCTTATTTTAGTAACTTAAATTAATTTCTTAAATTATTTAAGTGCGTATTAAAATACGTTGAAATTTGATTTTCCAGGTGCGTTTCAAAAGTGGCTCACCCCTCTAACTTTTTGATTTTTTTCAGATTACAGAACGAGATTTGGTATGTTAGTATATGGACATAAATTAGGATCGATTGACATGAAAATTGTTTTCGGTCATTTCCTGTTTCACCGGAAATGGCTACAACTTTTGATTTTAAATGTCACTTTCGGTATTTTGTTACTTTATTCGATAGAAAATGACACTCTAAATAGAATGACATATCATATGCCAACTTTTGACATTTTCGAATATGGTTTATTTAAAATTGCAACATGTGGTTTATAACTACAATTGGACTCGAAATACCTATTGTGTGGTATCAAATTATTCGTAAAAAAATGCTTTATCTAAATATACTAATGAGCCACCCTGGCTTCCATTTGAATAAAAATGAGATATGATTAAAAATAAGGTTTGGGAATTTTTTAACCAACTAGGATAAGACACTAAAAACATTAGACAATAAAATCTAGTTTTAACAAGGTTCCTTGATTAAAAATGAGTGTTTTTTAATGGCGCCATAGACTGAAATTTAAAATACTATTTTTGTTTTAAGCGAAAATATCAAAAGTTGACATGATATTATGTTATTCTATTCAGAGTGCCATTTTCTATCAAATAAAGTAAAAAATACCGAGGGTACCATTTAAAAATCAAAAGTTATAGTTATTTCCGGTGAAACAGGAAGTGGCCTAAAAGAATTGAATACGTCAATCAGTCCTAATTTATGTTATATACTAACATACCAAATCTCGTTTTTTTATCTGAAAAATACAAAAAATTACAGGGGTGAGCCACTTTTGAGACGCACCCAGTATTTCTATTATAAATACTGTGCAAATTTATCAGTACTATACCAAATGGAAAATGTTACAAATTAGTGAATGATTTTGAACAAATAAAATGTATTAAATGTATATTTGAACAGTTTTTAATATGGTTATGAACGAATCGTTCATTTGCACGATTATTTAAAAAACTTGCACAGAAAAGCGAGCTGACGTCACAGCTCGGACTCGACACATAGACTAGCTTCAGTCACGTGGCTATGTGGGCGTGTTCCCACGATTAAAAAACAGCAAAACAGTCAGTTATCTAGCATATTTTTAGAAATTTTGAAAAAATATTTTTGCTGATGACTTTCAAATATTGAATAGAAATGCCTACGTACATGATGTTTTAAGTAATGTAAAAATTCTTACAAATTGTCCATTGTACAGGATGTCCCATTTTGGTTGAAATCATTAGTTCTACTTAAAAAGTTCTATAAGAAGCAGTGTGCACCTTCTCGATACCTTTCAGAATAACAGAGATACGGGGGGTGTCCTAAATTGCAAAAAAGACCCTGTAGTTCAAAAACTACTAGGACTATGAAAATTTTGTTCACAGCATTTTATGTTTCACAAAAAAGTGGGTCAGGGTTATGCAAATCGCATCCTCCTGTCTTCACTAATAACGGAAATACCGTATGAGTTCAATCAAAATGGGACACCCTGTACTCTCAGCGAAAAATTTCTCACGATTTTTTTAATGCTCGTTAAAGTGGTCGATTCTTTCAATAATTGCCCATCTCTAATACTTAGTAATCTTAGTACTTAATAACATCTTAGTACTTAATAACATTTCACCAGTCCGAAAAAGTAGCAAAATAAACGTTCGGCATTTAGCGTTTTATGTAAAACTGGCTAGGTATTTTTACACAAATGAAGAAGGAAACTAAAAATAAAGGATTATACTATATGCGTATTGTAGTACATTTTTAGACAACTTCTTTATTTTTAAGATTTTGATGGTCAAACACCAACAAAATATTCCTTATGTTTGGACTAAATTTTCTCGAAAATAAAGTCATAATTTAAAATTCCGTTAATACGGAAATAGATTGAAGTTTTGTTACTACAGTGATATATAATTTATATGGTTTTGTAACAAATTGCTCGCTATTTTATGGCAATATGGCAAATAAGCAAATTATGGCTGAAGCTTTGCAAACCTTAATCAAAGCACGTGTGTTTGGAGTTTAAGGCTCTATTTGTATATGAGAGACAAACCTGGATTCAACCAAATAATATACAAACTGTGATAAGAGAATGTGATATTTTTTGTGATTCAGATATAATAAATGCTGCCAAAGATATAAAAATTAACAAATCTCCGGGCTGTGATAATTTGCCACCAAATGTGATAAAAACACTAATATTGGACAATGTAGAATATTTTAGAACATTTTTCAATAACTTTCTTCAGAGAAATGAATTCCCTAAAGAATGGAAGAGATCCAAATTAACCCTAATAGAGAAACCCTGAAAGCACCTAAATGATCCACCAAAATATCGTCCGATTTGCCTCATTGATGTAATCGGGAAAGTCTATGAGAAACTCATCAATACGCGACTCTTGGAAGAAATTAGGAAGAAACGAAATGGTATGCATCCAAACCAGTATGGATTTGTGAAGGGGAAATCTACCACACATGCAATGAAGAAAATATCGGATATCGTGAAAAGAAAAGCCACTTGGCATAATGCTTTGATTTTAGTCGACGTTAAAAATGCATTTAATTGCGCGTCATGGGAAATAATTATTAAAGAACTTAGAAGATGGGGCATAAGTGGCTATTTGGTGAACATAATAAGAAGCTATCTTGATAATAGATTTATAGTTCTCAATAGAGAAAATGAAAGAGAGGTATTCGGTGGCGTCCCACAGGGCTCGGTGCTGGGGCCAACTCTGTGGAACATATTATACGACTGTGTCATGGAGCTTACTGTACCAGGTGGGACAGAGTTGATCTGTTACGCCGATGATCTTGCTGTGATAATAACAAAAAAACTAAAAGAAACAAAAAAATAAACGACCTCGACCTAATGCAGACTGTGGATGATACACTAAAGATCATAGCCAGATGGATGCGTGAGCACAGACTCGAAATAGCTGTGGAAAAAACAGAAGCGATTTTACTGAGCCGCAAGAGAAAAGTTGACCATATAAGGTTTAATTTTAAGGATATAATAATAAATCCAGTAAAGCAAGTCAACTATCTTGGATTCCACATAGACCGTGCACTCACGATGGGCCTGCACATCAAGGAGGTGTGTGTGAAATCACAACGAACTGCTAAAGCGTTGTCCGCAATACTCCCAAACGGTCGGGGCCCAACACCAGTAAAGAGAAGAGTGTTAGCATATGCGTGCCAGAATATTATTATGTATGGAGCACCTGTGTGGAACGAAGCAACCAATATGCACGTAAGTAAAAAAAGACTTGAAGGTGCACAGAGAGTCATGGCTTTGAGGGTCTGCTCGGCGTATCGGACAACTTCAACTGAGGCAGCCTTGGTGATATCGGGTCTGGTGCCCTTGCATTTTCTCTCAAGAGAAAGAGAACGATTCTTTCTCAAGGGTGAAGTACAAACCAGGGCAAGCAGAGAGATGGAGAGAAACCGCACAGTGCAGCAGTGGCAGGCAGAATGGGAAGTATCACAAAAAGGAAGAGGGACACATAAGCTCATCCCAAATATAAATATGTGGATTAAAAGAAAGCATGGAGAGGTAAACTTCTATCTTACTCAAATATTGAGTGGCCACGGAAATTTTGGGAGTTACCTGTGTAAAATTGGAAAGAGGGAAGTCGCGGAATGCCGATACTGTGCTGAACTCAATGATACTCCAGAACACACAATGTTTGCTTGTCCAAGATGGGAACAGGAAAGATGTGAGGCACGCATGACGATTGGTGGCAACATCTCCGCAGATACCTTCTTAAAATCGATAACAGAAAGAAGAGAAAACTTTGAAGCCATCTCAAAACTGGCCCAAAATATACTAGAGGCAAAATACAGCGAAGAGCAGGGGTAATCACAAAAAAGGAACAGTCCGGCGTCTACTTGAGGAGATGCGTCTAGCGGGTCCAGGTAGACGTGGCAGGAGCGAGGGGGTGACGTTTAGTGTGTAGTGTCCTCCAGGCAGCTTAAGGAGAGATTGAGTCCCACACTCCGTACGTAAAGGTATTTTACACCTCAAAAAAAAAAAGAAAAAAAAAACGTGTGTTTGGAATTTTGGGTGTGGTTTAACATGACAGGATCAGGCTAAGTCTTAGGGCAGATTTCTAAAGTATAATATATTTCCTTCGGCCACACACCCGCTTTACTCGACCCCTGAGAGCGACCCAAAAGTACAGCGTAATAGACTCTTAATACATTTATCGGCTTCATATTTGGTTATAATTAAATGACATGAATGTCCAAAATCAATCTGTTTATTCTTTAATAATTTATTTATATTAAATCCTACCTGAGGTACGTGGAATAATTGGAGTAGATTTTGAACCTGCAAAGCCACGGAACTCGAACCTGGACCAACGACACCAATAAGCGGACCACGATGTTGGTTTACGGAATTGTCATAGCAAATGTTCATGTTGGACGAGATACTGAGCGAATCCCTTATAAGCTTCATACTTTCTCTTAAAGCCACAGGGGCATACCAACATTCGTCTCTGATTTCCATGCCAAGAGTTAGATTTGGCAGTAAGGAGGAGTCGTTGTTGATCGTATCTAGAGTCTGAAGGGCGACTTCTACCCTTTGAATGCCATACTGTTCTCGAATTTCGCCACATTTCAAACCTATAATATCATAATATTAGACTGATGATTTGACCAGTGAAGACGATCTCAGTTTTCTGTTTGAAAAATTTTCAGACTGGAATAACTCGGTTGTTTTAAACATATTTGAAAAACGGTAAAGAGAAAATATTATGTTTCTTTTATCGAGATCTACCAGCCCCCTAAATATTTGTATGTACTTATTTAAGACTCAAATTTCAAATTTATTCGATAAAAATTTATATATACAGAAAAGTCCACAGACTTCGAGACATAGGAAAATCAAGTCCATTTAGCATGTATCCAAATTTTGACAAGTTTTCAAAAATGACAGTTTTGTTTAGACTGACGTTTAATTTCACCTGACCTCTCGGTGAATGATATCTTTTTATGGGGGTACATAAAATCTAAAATTTACGGCCATGAAGAAATTCAAAACTTGGAGCAGTTAAGTCAGGAAATATTTAATGCCTTTGACACTGTCACCTCTGATATGTTATCCAATGTGAGGATGGTTATGGTTATTGGTTATTTATGATCGTTTGGGTTATTGTTTAATGCAAGAGAGAGGCATTTTTGAACAATTTTTGTAATTTTTTAAATTTCATTATCCTGTTTTTTTACCGTTTTCCCATTACCTACCTTGACGAACATGGGAAAACAAAGATCCTTTACAGAACCACAAATATTTTGATTGAGAAATTTGTTACTTTTATTTTTTTTGGGATTAAAAAAACAAAAGTTGTTAATATAATACCAATTTATAAGTGTTTTAGTAGTTTTAATACACACTATGATATAAAATGTATTATTATTATAATGTACATTATTAATACTATTAATCATTCGAAATGGCATTGAGACCCAATTGCACCAATGATTTAAATTTTTCTTAAAGATAAGTAAAGCTTAGAATGAGCTGTATTTATATTTACTTTAATATTCACCTTAAATGAGGGAATTTGACTGACACAATGTTTGAATTTGAATTGTTTTTATTGATACTAACAATTTTAGCTCAATTTTTAATAAAATTTATTTAATATTAATAGAAATCCAAGAGATTTGAAACCTCCCTTTTAGCAATTTACAACATTCTCAAATGAATTACAGGTGCCCTTATTTTCTATGAAAACCGCACAGCTTTTTTCATAGTCGCTGCCGTTGCTATAGCTATAAAAACTAATTTTTTAAGGTGTGAAAATTGCGACACACGCTAAATGGACTTGATTTTTCCTATGTCTCGAAGTCTGTGGACCTTTCTGTATATATTATAATTAAGACTTGTTATTATACACAGGGTCCGGCAATAGTGTGTCGGGCATCTGTAGCAAGTAGAATAAAAAACTTAGGTATTTTGTTTAAGCAAACCTAAAGTATGTACAAGGAACGAGGATGTATTTCAAGGAAATATTTTAACTTCTATAGGGTGGTTTAAAAAAGTGTGAGTGGATCAGAATGATTTTTTTAAATGGGACACTTTTTATATTATTGCATTTTTCGCTTCCTGAAAGTGATCTAAAACTTTCCATAATCCTAAGATCTGAGTAAATATATTTCAATAGTTTTAGAGATATTAATAAATAAATAAAAAATATATATATATTTTTTAACTTTTCTTAAAAAAGTTATTAAAAATACAAGAACTGTACTGAAATCAAAACTATATTAGTTATTTACTTTAGATGGTGTGTTACTTAACTTTGCTATAAATATGGTAATCGTAAATCATATAGGATGTTCAAAATTCTACGCCAAACTTTCTAAAATTTAAAATAATTTTCATTTGTTTTTTTATGGAACACCCTGTATATTATTTTTTAACAGATGGAGAATTAAAAAATGAACATTTTTTGTATTTAGAGTATTTCAAAATTTTTAACTGTTTCGCAGATATTCGCGGTTTTATATTTCATATGGCATTTTCCACAGTAAAATTTTTATCAAAGCCACCCATTGATTCGTCTCTCGTATTTTACCGTTGAAAGAGCTAGAGGAAATAATACTGCGTGTATCTGCGAAACCATAAAAAAATTTGAAATGCCTTAAATGCAAAAAATATTCATTTTTTAACTCTCTATCTAATAAAAAAATAATATACAAGGTGTTCCATTTAAAAAAAAAGAAAAATTATTTTATATTTTAGAAAGTTTGGTGTAGAATTTTGAAAACCCTCTATGTTTTAAGATTATTACGATATTTGTAGCAAAATAACTATAGACCATCTAAGGCCTAATATATAAAAATATTTTTTTTAAGGAATGTCGAGGGGTAAACGGCTGACCCAAATTCTGTACACTAAACCTCCTAATAGCTAAAGAATTCCTGAATACCTCCTGGGAAGTCCTGAATATCTCCTGGTAAATCTCATATATATTTTTTTGGAATTCCTGATACTATTGAGCATACGAAATTTGTAATTAGTTTCAAACTTTACAGAAAGTTGTAAAAAGTATCCAAAACCGACTCGATAAAAAAGAGTTTGGTTTGGTTTGGTTTGCTCATTAGTTTGGTCGATTCCCATCTTCCCATCATCACTTACTGCAGATTGTTCTTCTGAATTTTTTGGTATAGTGGTCGAGTTCCATGAAAAATTTTCAACTTTTCAGTTACAGCAAGTGCTTCCTGCGAAAGAGTCCATCACAATATTCTCAATGCATTGATCAGTAAATACATTTTTAATATCTTTCACCTTATTATTTGCACTCTGCGCTTCAATTTGTGCATCGTTTTGGCACTTAGAACGAACTCTTTCAAATTTTTTCTGCTCTCTTGGGAAACGTATTATATCGTAAATCATGGGTAATATTATTAATCGATCTAATTCTGTCCAATCGTTGCAGTATGTCTTTAATACTATAATTTACTACAGTAGATTGCGTTGTTGTCATGGACCTTGTGGCTTGGAATATTTTCTAACAGCCTTAACTGCTAAAAAGCAAAGGAAGGAACATATCTTCTGTGAGGTTTGGATTTTCTCGAAAATGTATAATTAAATTAATCAGAACATGAGCGTTCAACTCGATGAATGTGTAACAGTTACTTGAAATAAAATGTTCTCCAATTTTCTTATTATTCATCATTAGCCATTTACGCCAAATACGTAAAAAAAACACACAATACCATAAATTATATAACCTTCCTTTTAAATCCAAATTTTCTTCCAAATAGAAACATATAACTAAGTTCATCATTCTTAAATTTATTGTTATTTTATTTATTCCTTGGTTCCTGCACACTCAGCAACAGTATTAAATAATTCAAGGACTTCAATGGACCATATTTTTTGAGCTGCCTTAAAATTCATTTTATCTACCAATTTTAAATCAGTCCTAGTCTGTCAGTTCAGTCGAGAGTTCAGTGTTATTTTACTTTCAGATAATAAGCTTCTTAATTTATGTGTTTTTATATCAAAACCCCAATACACCGAGCAATACACCAAATATTGTAATCCTCGCCAAACTAATTCAAAAAGAAATAAAAGCTCGGGAACCATTGACGTCACTGGATACATTATTAAAGAAATGTCTATGTCAACTTTGATTTTAAAACCCACCGACGCGACGTCATCAAATAATGACAGAAAAACGACGCATTTGCAGTAAAAACATGCATTTTTTAATCGCATATATTTCCGATAGATCTTTTTTTTTAATTTCTTCTTGTCTGTGGGGCTTTTATAATTAATTATTTGTAAGCTTCATTCAGAACATCGCAATTAGTGGAATAAATTAGTAGTTTCAATTAGCGTAGAAGTTTATTCCTTTAATTTGAATGTAAGCATTCAGAACGTCAAAATTAGTGGTAGACATTTTCAATTAGTAGGAAAAGTTATCAAACTTTTAACTTTTCCGTTAATGGGCTCTTTCACTATATTTTGGAATTAGCATAATTGAATAAAGCAATTAATTCTAGAATTTTCTGCTATCTCACTTTCGAAAAATTCGAAGTCGTTCTTAAGAAAATAAATAAAAAAAAAACCTAGAATAAAAATCCGCACTTTATTTTTAATACGTCACACCCGGTATGTTGAAAAGCGGCAACACGGCCGGGCCACCATGCTGACCCACCACCACCTCCACACAAGGCTATTCAACCTTTTCCAATATGGCGGAGATAGAAGTGCTTTATTTGGCCCGTATTTTAAAATCTGTTTTATTTCCAAATAGACATTTTTCACACAAATGTCGGGTTAGATTACGTAATATTTCACTAATTTTTTAATATACAGGGAGTCTAAAGCTCTCCACATAGTTTCCTATGTGGAATGTCTGGTATGGATTTTTATTACACTGTTATTTTATTACAATTTTCTGATCATACCATGCACTGAACACTAAGAACTAAACAAACGTGTTGCAGAAGCATAATAAACTAGAGATAATTAATTATTTCTGGTATGCAATCGGAACGAGAAACCACTACCGGCTTTTCAGGTTAAAGGTGCCTTTGCCGCCATATTTGCCTTGCCCATATCATGTTGATTGGCCTTGAGTTGAGGTGGTGCTGGTCAAATCAAATCGCAATGTTGCCAGTTGTTGGCTGGCGCACGAGCACGGTTCTGCAATGTGATTGGGCGTATTTTTCACACGTCATCAATTGGCGCTTTAAATTTATTTCAAATTAAAGGAATTTTGAGGACCTATAAAAAATTATTCAATGTCATGGAACTATTTTTTTTGGATAAATATACTGAAAATAGTCTTCTATTTCAGATTTTGTCCTTAAATTGAGTGTTTTATTTTTTGTGAAAGAGCCCATTATACTTCAAAATTTGCGAGAAATGTCATTTTGGTCTTTTCGTCAAGAGAAATTGTTGTTAGAAATCAAAAGTTGATTGTTTTATAAGCTAAATATTAGACTTTCTCTATGGATATAGCTGACTAACGCAAGCTGTTGCTAGGATATTCTATTAGTTTTAATTGTGTTTTAAACAGTGTGAATGATTGTAAACTAAAAAGTATAAAGTGTAATTAACACCACTAATTTATTCCACTAATTGCGAGGTTCTGAATGAAGCTGTAAGTGTTTTAATTCAAATTTATTTGTTATGCACTGAGCCTATTGTGTGATTTTAATCAAACCGAGGTCAATATTCGTGATTTTATGCGTATTTTTTCGAGCTGTCTCATCCTAGATCTCCTCCATACCTCCTGGAATTCCATCATAAATCCTGGGAAATCCTGTATACTTCCTGGGAAATCATGTATACCTCCTGAGAAATCTACATACTTTTTAGTAAATCCTATATATTTCCTGGTACTTCCTTGAAGGAATTGCCGCGTACTTCCTTTCGAATGTACACCTACCTCCTGCAGTTGTTCACCCCTCGAGGAATGTTGAAAAAAATATATTTTTTATCTATTAATTAATATCTCGGAAATTATTGAAATATATTTACTCATATTTTAGGATTATGTAAAGTGATCTAAAAGGAAGCCAGAAATGCATAATATACAGGGTGTTCCATTTAAATAAAAACATCCCGATCCTCTCACACTTTTTTGGGCCACCCTATAGAAGTTAAAATATTTTCCTGAAATACATCCTCCTATATACTTAAGGTTAACGCTTAAACAAAATTCTCAAGTTTTTTTATTCTAGGAACTACAGACACCCGACGCGCTATTGCCGGACCCTGTATAACTGATTAGAAAATTATTTGCGTACCTAAGTGTCGGGTTTTAGACGAAGGTTGGTGATGCAACGGAAATAATGCACCGATAATGAAATCGCCATTAATAAAGGCGGAAGTGCATACATCTGTTTGAACATTATCGCTGCACCCCACGTAAACGAACGCCAGAAAGAAGATAGCTACCAAAATCCAGTACAAACTGACATTCTGCATATCCTCATTCGGGTCTTGTGTTTCATTTGACGAAGAATCTGTAAAAAATATAAATCTCTTAACTGTTATCATAAATGATATATATATACAGGGTGGGCCATTAGTGCGAGGAAGTCCAATATCGTCATTGTTGATCAGAAATATCTCAAAAACCAAAGATTTTAAACATATTTAACCCTTATAATAAATGCCTTTTTTGGGCCCAAGAATCAAATGAAATAATATACCAGCTGTTCCATAAGAAAAAATATAACTTTGGTATGGATCTTAGTTCTGAAACATTGCCACGTTGCCTCCCCACATATACCCATAAAATATTTTGTTTTACATCTTTACGTTTTCGTATAATCAACCGAGGCGAATGACGTGCGCCACCCTGTACATGATAAAAAAGTTTGTCAGCAGTTCTCAGAATTAATTCTGGTGCTGACTTTTAATCCAGAGAAATGAATTTTACTAAAAAATTTGATTACTTCCTTAAATGTATACAGGGGTATCAAAAATTGCTGATCTATTTTAAAAATTTATTTTACATAAAAACTTGGTTATTTCAAATACAACACTCTGTATTTTTTTTTAAATAAGTCGAAGCAGATTTAAATACTCCTTCAAATTATACTAGGTTACCTATGTGGCTGAAATTTTGAATAAAAAGCGATTTTTCCATAAAATGGTAACCAAGAGGTCTGGAGTCGTCATGGCAGTTGTCTAATGACAGTTAGTAGCTATTTTCAAAATCGAAATTGGTTTATAGATATTAAACCCTTATAACAAGTACCTTATTTTATGTCCAAGGATCTAAAAATGAAATAAAATACCGGGTGTGTTAATAAGAAAAAATAAAACTTTGATATGGATCTTCGTTCTAACATACCCTGTACATTTCAAATTAATTTTAAATTATGCACATTGCCTTCCCACATTAAAAAAACAAACAACGGGCAAATTAAAAAAAGAATGTACATTAAATAATAATAATCTGATCCTGTTGCAAAGATACAATAATTATAGATCTACGCTAACGAAACTGATTAAAAATGCAAAATATGCTTCTTATAAAAAACTTGCTCAAAAAAATTGTAAAGAACCGAGAAAACTATGGCAAGTAGCCAGAGAAGCCACAAACGATCTTAACATCGAACCAGTGGAACTTACAAGTAAGCATCAAATAGCGGATGAATTTAATAATTATTTCTCAAAAATAGGTAAAAAACTTGCAGAAAACATAAAAAATACTGAGGTACTAGTAGAAGAGCAGGGGAACCAAAGGGTGACTCAATCTTGCTACTTCGGTCCAATCACGGACACTGAGCTTATCAGGGAAATAAACAACCTGAAAAACTATGTAAAGGGTGGAAAGGATTGTATTAGTTCTGATCTTATAAAATAAATATAAAGAATATTTAATAAAGCCATTATTACACTTAGTTAATCTAGTTTTCAGTACTGGAGTTTTTCCCGAGATCTTTAGGACAGCAACTATAATTCCACTATAAAACCAGGGGGACAGGAAGGATACAAACAATTATAGACCCATTGCCTTAACAAGTACAATAAGTAAGCTACTCGAAAAATGTATTAAACTTCGAATGTTGTCTTTTTTAGAAAAAAAATAAATTACTAAACGAAAATCAATTTGCGTTTCGGGAAGGCTCAAGTACTGAAGGCGCACTCTCTGTACAGTGACTGAGACAATTTTAAAAAGACTAGACCAAGGGAAAAAAGTTGTGGGTATCTTTCTTGACCTTCAAAAGGCTTTCGACACTGTGGCGCACCAAATCCTACTAAAACGTTTAGACTGCATGGGCATTAGAGGAATATCAAATAACTTAATCAAATCATATTTAGTAAGAAAGCAAAGAACAAAAATCGCAAATGAAATTAGCCAAGAAATGGGAGTGGAGTTCGGTGTGCCTCAGGGGACGGTTCTTTCCACTTTGCTATTTAATGTGTATGTTGATGGCCTGATGTCAATTTTGACTGAGAATGGAGTGGTGTTCTGCTTTGCTGATGATTCTGGTGTGCTGGTTTGGGGAGACGATTGGGAGAGTGCAAGGGATCGGGCAGAGAAAGCAATACAAAAAATCAAACGATGGTTAGACAATAGCCTGCTATCCTTAAATGTCAACAAAACAAAATTTGTCACTTTTGCACTCTCCCCACGCTCTCTGCCAGAATTCCTGAACCTAAAAATTCATAACCATGACTGTGATCTAAAATCTAAACCTAAATTGTGTATGCAATAAATTGATTGAAAGAGCGACATATATAAAATACTTAGGTGTTCTTGTGGATTAAAAATTTACTGGGAAAGAACATATTACCTATGTGACATACAAAATAAGGAAAGTAATATATACATTTTATGAGTCGCACCATGTCTTCGGTTTCAGCACTTTAAAGATGGTGTATTATGCACTGGTGAAATCAATTTTGAACTATGGGTTGGTGGTTTGGGGTAGTGCCGGAGTGACAATTTTAAACAAACTACAAGTTGCACAAAAATATATTATAAAACTTATGTTATTTAAAAATAAGAGGTTCTCTACTGAATTGCTTTCCAAAGAGAGCCAATTATTAGATATTAGACAGTTACACCTTAAAGCAGTAATTAGATTCATGAAAAAATTTTCCTATTATAAAGAATTCATAAGCCATGGTCGTAACACAAGAAATGCAGCTCAAAACAACGTCACACGTCAAAACCCCAAGCATACCATATGCCAGAGTCATATTTATTGTCTTGGCCCAAAAGTTTTTAACTGCCTTCCAAACAATATTAAAGTAAAACCATACTCTAAGTGCAAAAAAAGAGATAAGGCAATGGATACTTCAAAGCAATTATGTAGTTAATTATGTAGTCTAATTTGAAATATTATATCACACAATTAATATCTCTTATCAAATTAATGTTACCACTAATTTTTACTAATTATTGTACTAAAATTGTTATACTTAGATGGAATTATTAGAATATAGTTTTTGTTACTTTAAAAAAAACAAAATGGTAAAACCTCTGTGATACACAGTACTTCAAGTAGGTACCATCGTGCATTAAAGTAGAAGTTTTTATTTTTATTTAATGTACCTATAGAATTAATTATATTCTGTTCAACATAAATGTAAACTACTACTACATAAATAAATAAATAAATAAATAAACATATGCTCATAAAATATTTTGGCGAATGAGGTGCGTCACCCTATATATGACAACTGCATTTTGTTAAATAAAAATAATGCCTAATTAAAACAAAAATAAAAATATTTATTGTTTTCTAAAAATGTATATCATTCGTCATTGAAATTTCTCTTTATATTAATCCATATTTAAAACCACATTTATTTGGAAAAAATACTTCTATAAAACCACAGCGTGTAATACAAACACAGCCGTATTCATTTTATAATGGGGTTCTTTCAGTGTTCAGCTACCATATCCGCGTTTCAAGCGTTTACGTTTTAAAAATGCATTTTCTACATAATACACCTTTTTATAAAGGCAAGCTTTTCGTAGTTCAACTTTTATCCTTCTTTCAATAAAATAGAAGCATGTAATAAATGCATATTTATTTACATTTTTTTTAATTAGATCATTTTTAAACTATCTCTAGAATATACCGAGTGATCGTATAAAAATGATACGTCTTAGTAGGCATAAAAATTTAAAATATTTATACAGGGATAAGTGCAAATATTTTTAGGGGTAGCATATTTCAACCCCAGAAACACGTCTATGAGGTTTTCTTTTGCGAAAAAAAATTGAAAAAAAACCCTGTATATATTAAAGTTTTAAAAAGATTGCTAAATTTTTAACCTAACGTAACTAAATGCTTAGTTGATAAATATAATCTATAGTACCGTATGATCGAAAAAAAAAAACGGCGTCCAGTTGGCTTGGAAATGACGATCGATGACATTTCCTATACTTTAAATCTTTAAACTTTTGATTTTGATTTTTAAATGGCACCCTCGGTATTTTTTTACTTTATTCGATAGAAAATGACATTCTGAATAGAATGACATATCATATGTCAACTTTTGACATTTTCGCATATGGTGTATTTGAAATTATAACTTGCGGTTCGTAACGAAAATTTGACTCGAAATACCAAGTGTGTGGTATCAAACTATTCGTAAAAAAATGCTTTTTCTAAATATGCTAATGAGCCACTCATTCCATTTGAAAAAATTGAGATATGATTAAAAACACTATTTGAGCATTTTCTAACTGGCCAGGACAAGACACTAAAAACATTAGACGATCAAATCTATTTTTCCAAGGCTCCTTGATTAAGAATTAGTGTTTTTAACATAGCTATGGCACTCTAGATTGAATTTTAAAATACAATTTTTATTAAGCAAGAATGTAAAAAGTTCCCATAAAATATGTCATTCTATTCAGAATGTCATTTTCTAACGAATAAAATAAAAAAATACGGAGGGTGCCATTTAAAAAAGTTGTAGTCATTTCCGGTGAAACAGGAAGTGACCGAAAAGAATTGAATACGTCAATCAATCCTAATTTATGTCATAGACTAACATACTAAATCTCGTTTTTTAACTGAAAAAATAAAAAAGTTATAGGGGGTGAGCCACTTTTCAGACGCACCCGGTATAGTCATTGTTTAAATGTTTTCAGCCATTGCTGCCTTGAAAGTACTTTTATAAATGGGTATTATTAGGATGAAACTATAGAATATTAACGCATATTATCGTAAAAAAAAAGACGTCAAGAAAAAATGTAATGCTGTTTGCATATCTTTAAATTTATATAATTTTAATAGCGTTGGAATTGATGCACATATTTTTTATTTAAAAGTGGTATGTGTAGTTTTCAAAATAAATATTTGAAAATGAATACTAGCATTATTGCAGAATATTCGTATAAATATTTGTATGTTATGCATATGTAATGTGTGAAGCTAAGATAATAGATATATTAACATTAGGTGCATTCTCAAAAAACATAGTTTAACAATACTTAAGTTTGATTCTTTGTACTCGTAGCGAAAACAGTATTTTAACCTTAAAACTG